AAAATGCCTTTTATCCACAACTCTAAGTCTACCAGATCCTACAGTAATCCATCTGCCTTTCCTAGCATGTCTCTGCGGCAGTGGCTTTGCAGCAGTTCCAGTCTGAGTTTCTTCACCAGATAATTTACAAATCTCAGACTTCAAAAATACAATCTCCTGCCGCAAGATAGAGAACTGTCTACAGATTAGACAACAACCAAACCTCCAAAAAGTGGAACGTGAAACAAATGCATAGCAATTGTTACACTGAACTAAGTCTGCCATTCCAATTATGAGAATAATTTAAATCTAACAAATCTTAACTTTTTTCTTTATCCTCCTGAATACCTCAGATTACCTCCAGGTTATCTCCAGAATATCTCCAACTACACACTTAGAAGCAACACTTAGATGAAGCAACCAAGCTAATGACAACAGCCCTTATATAACTCCTAAAATCACCACCCACTAGGAATGTTTAACACCTGGGTAGGCCTCTGCTTATTTGCAAACAATAGCTAATTAACCAGCAATCAACAGCAAGTAACTAGCTTAATCAAATCAAATGCCTTATAATTACCAACAGGAATTCAAACCTTGGGCAATCAGTAACCTTTTCCTACAGATGAATCTTACCAACAGGAATTCAAACCTTGGGCAATCAGTAACCTTTTCCTACAGATGAATCTTACCTGTAACAGTAGAAAAGAAAGCTCTTAGCACAACTCTTAGACAGTTGAAGCTTCTGTAAAACTCTCCAAAATATCTCCAACTACACACTTAGAAACAGCACTTAGAAGTAGCACCAACCATAGGAGTGCCGCGGGGATTAGGGTGTGCCCAGGCACACTCCGTGCGCATGCCTATGCCAGAGGTGTACCTAGGGTCTCCTGCACCCCTCCCATCATAAAAAGGAAATTGTTTCATTATTTTTTTTTAATGTTTAGATCAATTTCAATCATTTTCTATTGTCTGCATTTCCATAGTAAGTGTAACGGATCACCTGGCACCCCGACTGGGTACCTCCATTAAAGGATGCTCCTAGCGCTTCCTGAGGACTCCAAGCACTGCAGCAGACACCACAACCACCGAACCGGAGAAGCATATGAATCCTCCCAAGCATATGAATGCTGTAGACAGTTGAATAGGAACCATACGAATAGGTTTACTCTCCTAGCAGTCAAACTGGAACAGCATATAATAAATCCTTCCCCCAATAATGAGACGACACTTCACTTTGAGGGTTAAAACAGGAACTCTCTGTACTGTCACATACAGTCTCTTTTATTCCCAATCCACAAACATAGTACAGCCCACAGGGCGTTACAAAACAACCAATCACATATCAGTTACATCCCACATATTCCCTCCCCTTATCCTGAGAGGAAACTCAATTACACATACAGTTAAAACATACTTTCTACCCAACTTTCATAACTCTAAAACCATACATCACATTCACATAAAATTACATATTCACAATCAATCCATTCAGGGGAACAACATATTCAAAAATGGCACAAATCAGACAAGGGGTTCAAAAGTTAAGTAAAAGTCCTTTGTGACTAAATGAAGCATGGCTTTCTGGCCCAAACCAGTTTCAGAGTCTTCTATCCTGAAGAGTAATTCAATTATCTCCCAGGATAGACACAAGACTCCATTAAGCACATGGTTGCAAAAAGACAAAAAACACTTTAGAATACATAAAGTCACATTTACACATAACACACAGACATTTCACATATCCCCAGATAGCTGGGATCTGAGTGCACATTATTAGATGAATGGCACTCAGATCACACAAATAAGCCTTTCTGCAGGGGAAATAAACAGTTTAACCTGCAGGGCCATAGTCCAACGGCAAGAGGCGGGCAAGCAGCCCCCTCCAAGGACACGTGGCGAGGCCTGTTTCGCCACATTTCTCCCCTTTACCATCCAGACTAACAGGGTATCTGACCTCCTGCCGGTCAGTGCCCTGGTTAGTCCAGCAACCCACCCACGAAGCACAAACAGCAATACAGCCCACCCACATTAACTGGTTACTACACCTGGATAAAATAGCAACTTGTCCATGTCCAGGTGCCTCACCACGGCTGTGCGGGGGGCTGGTAGACTGCCTTGGTGGGTTGCTGAGTGGGCAGAGACCAGCGGTACTCTGCCCGGGTGCCAGCGCTACCACTGAAGTAGCCTGGTTGGAGCCTGGTTGTGGGAGGGGGAGACCAACTGTCTCCCCTCTGGATACACTGCTCTGTGGCTGTGGGACAGGATCGACCATCCCTACCCCTGGTGCTGCAAGTGCAGAGACTACGGTCCCATCTGCATAGTTGTGGGGCTTAACATCTCCCCTTGGTGGGTTAGGCTGCCGCTGGAGAGAGGGTGTAACAAGCTCCTCTCTCTGAACTGTAGACTGCCGCTGGGGAGAGGGGGTAACCTGCTCCTCCCCCTGACACTCTCTTTGCTGGTGGAGAGGGGGACCAACTGTCTCCCCTTTCAATATTTTGTCCTGCGGCTGGGGTGCGAGACAGACGGTCTCTGCTTCCTGGGGTACACACTGCCGCTGGGGAGGAAGGACAGCACCTTCAGCTCCCTGGCGTACACACTGCCGCTGGGGAGGAAGGACGCCACCTTCTGCTCCCTGGGATACACACTGCCGCTGGGGAGGAAGGACGACCCCTTCGGCTCCCTGGGACTCACACTGCCGCTGGAGATCTGGGCCGACCGCCCAGCATCCCTGTAGGGCCGGTAGAGAGACCGCCGTCCCATCTCCACCTGCCATCTGTGGGTCTTCCCAGGACCAGTCTGTGAGGTCCCTCAACATTTGCGAGTAAGGACCACCTGCTTCCGCACCTGGCACCTCCGGCTGCTGCTGGGGATCTGGGCCGGTCCCATCTCCACCTGCCTGTTGTGGTTCCTCACAGGACCAGTCTATGAGGACCCCTACTTCGGGTTCCTGCGGCCGCCTCAGGGGGAGACGGCTAGCCTCCTCGGATGCAGCCTCTACTCGGCTGCTGTAACACTCCTTCCGCTGAGCATACTCTCTCTCTTTCGCCAGCCGGAATTCTCGGGCCAGCCTTGTGTTTCGCTCGGCCGTGACCTGGTTCCAGATCACCCGGCGTACCTCCATGGGTAAATCATCCCCATACTGGGCCACTCGCTGCCTCACCTCGGCCATCCAATCATCGCCAGAGCATTCCATACTTGTCTGCTCCAAGTCGCTGGATACCTCTGCTCCCAGGGGCGCTGCACGTGTGCTAGCGTTGCCCTCAATTTGTAACTCCAAACGAACTGTGTCTCTGAGCTGCTTTACCTCGCACTAGGACGCCATCCCACCGCTGCCACCAATGTAACGGATCACCTGGCACCCCGACTGGGTACCTCCGTTGAAGGATGCTCCTAGCGCTTCCTGAGGACTCCAAGCACTCTGGCAGACACCACAATCACCGAACCGGAGAAACAAATAAATTCTCCCAAGCATATGAATGCTGTAGACAGTTGAATAGGAACCATACGAATAGGTTTACTCTCCTAGCAGTCAAACTGGAACAGCATACAATAAATCCTTCCCCAATAATGAGACGACACTTCACTTTGAGGGTTAAAACAGGAACTCCCTGTACTGTCACATACAGTCTCTTTTATTCCCAATCCACAAACATAGTACAGCCCACAGGGCGTTACAAAACAACCAATCACATCACAGTTACATCCCACATATTCCCTCCCCTTATCCTGAGAGGAAACTCAATTATACATACAGTTAAAACATACTTTCTACCCAACTTTCATAACTCCAAAACCATACATCACATTCACATAAAATTACATATTCACAATCAATCCATTCAGGGGAACAACATATTAAAAAATGGCACAAATCAGACAAGGGGTTCAAAAGTTAGTAAAAAGTCCTTTGTGACTAAATGAAGCATGGCTTTCTGGCCCAAACCAGTTTCAGAGTCTTCTATCCTGGAGATAAGTAATTCAATTATCTCCCAGGATAGACACAAGACTCCATTAAGCACATGGTTGCAAAAAGACACAAAACACTTTAGAATACATAAAGTCACATTTACACATAACACACAGACATTTCACATATCCCCAGATAGCTGGGATCTGAGTGCACATTATTAGATGAATGGCACTCAGATCACACAAATAAGCCTTTCTGCAGGGGAAATAAACAGTTTAACCTGCAGGGCCATAGTCCAACGGCAAGAGGCGGGCAAGCAGCTCCCTCCAAGGACACGTGGCGAGGCCGGTTTCGCCACAGTAAGCATTCTACAAAAAATAAGAATTTGGCTAAACATGCTGCATTTGTGCTGGTTTGTGCCATTTAAATCTCTATTCTTTCTCATTTCCAGTTTGTGCTGCTTTGTTTTTTTTTAGTTATAACAGTTTGTTTTTTGGCAAGGAAAATTATGTAACCCGCCATCCAATTCGACTGAGCTGTGTAAAGTTGGCAGCCATGTTTTTTTAAAATGTGATTAAAAATATACCATTAATTTGTGCTCCGTTTGTGCCGATTTGTGTGTTGTTTTTATTATTAAAGGACCACTATAGTGCCAGGAAAACAAACTCATTTTCCTGGCACTAGGGTCTTTAGGTCCCCCCCCACCCTCAGGTTCCTACTCTCGCCGGGCTCAAGGCTGCTGAAGGGGTTAAACTCTTACCTTTCTCCAGCGCCGGGTTCCCTCGGCACTGGGGAACTCTCCTCCCTCTTCTGACGTCAGCGCCGAATGCGTATGCGCGGCAAGACCCGTGCGCGCATTCAATCAGTCCATAGGAAATCATTTCTTAATGCTTTCCTATGGATGTCAGCGTCTTCTCACTGTGATTTTCACAGTGAGAAGCGCCTTTAGTGGCTTTCAAGAAGATAGCCACTAGAGGCTGCGTTAACCCTATTGTAAACATAGCAGTTTCTCTGAAACTAGTATGTTTTCAGCTGCAGAGTTAACCCTAGATGGACCTGGCACCCAGACCACTTCATTGAGCTGAAGTGGTCTGGGTGCTTATAGTGGTCCTTTAAGATAATTGTTTTTTGAGTTATTAGCAATTAAATCAGTGATGGCTATCCTTGACACCATAAATTGTTTTTGGACTACATTTCCCATGATGCTCAGCTAGCTTTTAGAGTGTAAAAGCTAGCTGTGCATCAGGGGAAATGTAGTCCCGGAACAATTTATGTTATCAAGGTTAGCCATCACTGGATAAAATAAAGGTTACCCAGCCCCCGTTAATGCTTATTACGACTACACTTGGTACAAGCTAGCAGAAAAATTATCCCACATGTTTAAAATATGCCTTTTGAAATACCCCGGAATGTCTTCTTTAAGAAATGGTATGCCTTTATGGTGTAGTTGTAATATATAGCCTGCTCAAGTGCTCCAAAGTGGGACACGGATGCATCAAAACCCTCCATGAAAATTCACACCTAAAAACCTGAACTTGTCACGTCTCTTTTACAGCTCTGTAACTTCACAAACTAGTGTCTAAGTCTTACATTGGGCATATTGTTTTACTCAGAAGATGTAACTGAGCATAATTTGGGGATCTTCATGACAGTGGTGCATATCAAGTGTAAGAAATAATCAGCAAAAATGCAACATATATGTAAAAATGCAATCTCGCCCCCCCCCACCACAAACATTTACATCAATTGGTGAAAAATGGTGACAAGTTAAGGCACAATATACACCATATTAGATACCCTGGGGTGTCTGCTTTATCAAATTAAATCCCTTTGTGGGGTTATTTGAACAGTGACACTGCTATAATACCCTAAAATGAGACAGAGGCTGATCAAATCTATCTACAAAAATTCTTACTATAGAAACTGAAATAGCCTTGTCTCTTATATGGCATTGTAGCTTTACAGAATAGTGCCAAAGACATACAATGGGGCTATCGTGATACTCAGCAGATGTAGCTGAACATAATATGGGGTTCTGTGCAGGAATAGCACACACCAGCTTTACGAAATACACATTACAAAAACTTTGTTATATGTGTATATGCCAAAATAGAGAAAAAAAACACCATTTTACTCCAATATTTAGCAGAGATTGGCGATGAAATGGTTACGTAAAAAGTGTCAAATTAACCTTAGGTAAATAGCCTTTGATGTTTACTTCATATAAATATATACTTTTGTGTGGCAATTTTGTTTTCTGTGGTGGCTACTAAACCTACAAGACAAACATACTAACTTCTAAAACTGTTTCACATTACAATTTTATTTTAGTCCTTGTATTTTGTGACCTGTAGCTTTCAAAATAAGCTGAAATCCTACACATATTATGTATTCTATAAATCAAGACATCAGTTAATTTATTTTGAATTACTTTTTCTAAACTGGACATATTACGCACATGCTATTATTGCCAAAACTGTGAAAACAAAATATTTTTTTGTTTTTTTCTCCATTTTTTTTTTATAATTAATGAGAATTTATCTATGTATATGTGACATAAAATTAAAGCCCGTTTGAAAAACGGTATATAATATGTGTTGTTGCAATAAATGACAGAGATGCAAATTGTGTTTGAACACAAACAGCAAAAAATGCAAAAATGGCTTGACCTTAAGGGTAAGACAAGCTTTTGAAGCTGTGTCCTTAAGAAGTTATGCATTATATATGATCTAACTCCGCCCACTTTGCGTCACACATTATTACATTGTAAAAACAAATATACCTTTTATTTGAGCTGCTTTTTTTTGCTGACTTGTGTTGCAAAAATGTAGGTTTGTGCCGGTTTGTTTTTGGAAATATTGAGCATTATGTGCAATTAAACCCGCCCACTTTGCAATCCATGTTATTACATTTAAAAGAAAATATTTGTTTGTGCTACATTTTGTATGTTAAAATATTTGTTTGTGCTGCTTTGATTTTGTTTAGTTATAACAGTTTTTCTTTCAGGGGATATTATGTAATCCAGCACCCAATTTGACACTAATTTTGCCCCAACTCTAACAAATTGCTACATTTGTCCTTAAAGGACCACTATGATGCCCTGAGGGTGCCCCCTCCCGCCCGGCTCTGGGGAGAGGAAAGGGTTAAAACTTACCTTTTTTCCAGCGCCGGGCGGGGAGCTCTCCTCCTCCGATCCTCCCTTTCGGCTGAATGCGCACGCGCGGCAAGAGCTGCGCGCGCATTCAGCCGGTCTCATAGGAAAGCATTTACAATGCTTTCCTATGGACACTTGTGTGTTCTCACTGTGATTTTCACAGTGAGAATCACGCAAGCGCCTCTAGCGGCTGTCAGTGAGACAGCCACTAGAGGATTTGGAGGCTGGATTAACCCTATTATAAACATAGCAGTTTCTCTGTTTATAAAAAAAAAAGGGGGTTAATCCTAGAGGGACCTGGCACCCAGACCACTTCATTAAGCTGAAGTGGTCTGGGTGCCTAGAGTGGTCCTTTAAAAGGAGGCAAAGTAGCCTTTTAAATAAGCACTTAAATTGGAATACATTTTTTTTATTTTTTTTTATTTGAAACGTGAAAAGGAAAATGAGAGTCAACTGAAATTCAAGATTTTTCAATACCTATAATGATATGATGCTATTTATGATAATCTTATTGAGACATTCCTTCTAAATTAAGTTGTTACGGTGCCAGGCTGGGCCGGATTAACATAGGGGCTGATGGACCTGCAGCTCCAGGCCAAGGCCCATAGAATAGGCCCATTGATTGTACTTTTTTTTTAACACAGAACTCTTAGGGTTGCCAGTATTACCGGCAATACAAATGCCGGTATTTTTCTCAGTATAAACAGAAATTATACCAGCACCGGCAAGTAGGGACCACTGTGTGTGTGGAGAGAGGCAGGGATAGGAAGTCACACCATATACTTGCATCTCTCTACTCACTGATCCGCAGGAGAGCAGCTACATAGCATAGAGTCCAGACAGCAGCTCCCAGCCTGCAGAGGCAGTCTACAGCTCAGGTAAGTGAGGGACGGGGTAAAGGCTGCAGGGAGACTAGGGAACACTGAGACATGGGGACAAATAGAGACCTCTGAGACACTTGGGGACATAGACACACATGGGGACACTAGGAGACATGTGTCCCCATGTCTCCCAGTGTCCCTAGTGTCTCCCAGTGTCCCCATGTCTCTCAGTGTCCCCTAGTGACATGGGGACACAGACACTAGGGGATACTGGGTGACATGGAGACACTGGGAGACATGGGACACTGTGATACATAGTCTCAGTGTCCTCAAGTCTCCCAGTGTCAGTGTTTATCTGTTTGTGTGTATGCCAACTGGGAATCTGTGAGTGTCAGTGTTTCTCTGTGTGTGCGCGCCGACTGGGAATCTGTGAGTGTCAGTGTTTATCAGTGTCTGTGTACGCCAACTGGGAATCTGTGAGAGTCAGTGTTTCTCTGGGTGTGTGCGCCGACTGGGAATCTGTGAGTGTCAGTGTTTATCAGTGTCTGTGTACGCCAACTGGGAATCTGTGAGTGTCAGTGTTTCTCTGTGTGTGTGCGCCGACTGGGAATCTGGGAGTCTCAGTGTTTATCAGTGTCTGTGTACGCCAACTTGGAATCTGTGAGTGTCAGTGTTTCTCTGTGTGTGTGAGCCGACTAAAGAATCAGCGAGTGTCAGTGTTTATCTCTGTGTGTGTGCGCCAACTGGGAATCTGTGAGTGTTAGTGTTTATCAGTATCTGTGTACGCCAACTGGGAATCTGTGAGAGTCAGTGTTTTATCTCTGTGTGTGCCAATGTGTATGCGGGTGCTGGTATGTGTATGTATCTGTGTCTACCAGTGTGTATGCGTGCAAGTGTGTGTAGTTATATGTATCTGTGTGTGGCAGTGCATCTCAGTGTTTGCAAGTGTGTGTATGTTTGTATCTGTGTGTATATGTTTGTATGTGTGTATATGTTTGTAACTGTTTGTATCTGTGTGTATATGTTTGTATCTGTGTGTATATGTAGGTATATGTTTATATCTGTGTGTATATGTAGGTATATGTTTATATCTGTGTGTATATGTTTGTATCTGTGTGTATATGTAGGTATCTGTGTGTATATGTAGGTATGTTTGTGTCTGTTTGTATATGTAGGTATCTGTGTGTATATGTTTGTAACTGTTTGTATCTGTGTGTATATGTAGATATCTGTGTGAATATGTTTGTATCTGTGTGTATATGTTTGTAACTGTGTGTATATGTTTGTATATGTAGGTATCTGTGTGCATGTGTGTATATGTTTGTATCTGTGTGTATACGTAGGTATCTGTGTGTATGTTTGTATCTGTGTGTATATGTAGGTATGTTTGTATCTGTGTGTATATGTTTGTATATGTAGGTATCTGTGTGTATATATGTTTGTAACTGTTTGTATCTGTGTGTATATGTTTGTATATGTAGGTATCTGTGTGTATATATGTTTGTATCTGTGTGTATATGTTTGTATATGTAGGTATCTGTGTGTATATATGTTTGTAACTGTTTGTATCTGTGTGTATATGTTTGTATCTGTGTGTATATGTTTGTAACTGTTTGTATCTGTGTGTATCTGTGTGTATATGTAGGTATATGTTTGTCTGTGTGTGTGCCACATACTTTCCCCCTATTCCGATGTAAGCATGGGGCACAACACTATTTCTTGCACCATGGCCCTATTTGCAATAGCATGGAAGGTATCTCACCCTGGAATAGACTAAAGAACAAACTGCTTTTTCATGGTACACAAGTTAACCCCCCCCCCTCCTCTTCCTTTGGAGTGGTCCTGCCAAAGTTCTCTATAGCTCTGTAACCACGCCCCTTGCAGTACACGTGTCTCTTTTACTTCCTGTTATTGATTTACATCTCCACCAATCAGAACAAGCGTACAGTAGCGACGTCACTACACCTGCGAGCGCTTGACATGGACGAGGGCATCTGATTGGCGGCGCCGCGTCTGCCGGATGCCTATTGGCGGTTGCTAGGCTGCGTGGGCGTGCCCCGTTATCCCTTGCAACATGGCGCTGAACAAGAACCATCAGGATGGCGGAGGCGTCATCATTAATAACAGCGAGAGGTGAGTGAATGGCGGGACAGTCAGACAGGAGCCAGTGGTTCTCCTCAGGGCTCCACATTGCGGAGGACAAAGCGCGGCTGACCTCACATGGCGGCTTCCGCATCCAGAGCCGCAGTGAGGGCGGGGTTTCGTATGATTGGCATACGTGTGGACCAATCAGGAAGCCTGAACCCCCCAGACTGACAGCTGGATGATGCATTCTGTGTATCTACCTAACCTGCAGACTGTCTGTGTCACCACATTATCTATCAGCAATTAATGGCATCAATGTCACAAATCATGAACATTCTATAGTTTATTCCAGGGATAGGCAACCTTCGGCACTCCAGATGTTGGGGACTACATCCCCCATAATGCTTATACACCCATAATGCTGGCAAAGCATCATGGGAGGTATAGTCCAAAACATCTGAAGTGCCGATGGTTGCCTATGCTTGGTTTATTCATTTAAACAACAATGCTTTCAAAGTGTGTTCCATACATCTGCTCATGCTAATATTTTTTTTTTAATGTTTTTTTGTTTAATCATCAATCCATCTTTTCTGCCCACCTTATTTTATTTATTTTTTTCCAAAAATAGAGCTTTACATGATTTCATTAATCTCATGGTTTATGGGAGATGTAGTTCAGCTGTTTGCTACAACAGAAAAAGGAAAACATAAAGTTGACATTTTCTTTTCATTGTTTCACTTTTTATTTGGGTTTTTCAACATGCATTACAGATATCCATTAGATCCGACAGTGATTTTTTTGGAACATCAATATGTTATGTCTACATTGTATCTGAGATAGGGTACATCAAGTGGGGTAGGTGGCACCACTGCTTCCGCATTACATATATCATTGTGCGACATTTGTGTGCAAATACATTTGTTCATTTACACAAAATACAAAGCCCCCCTCCCCAATGGTCACCCATCATCACTATGGCAATCCCACCGGTTCCAGTTCTATGCGCCGAAATATGTGTGTAGGTTGTGGCCTTGGATACCATCTTATCACTATACTTAGAATAACTTTAAAAGAAATAGAAACTTAACTTAAAAAGTGTAACTTCAAGACAATTGTTGACAATGCTTGAATTAAGCAAACTGTCTGGTGTTGTACGCTCTTGTTACCTCTCTGTGATCCCCTGTAACCTTCCATCCTGTGTTCGAGAGACGTTTGTGACCGGATTCCCAGTACAGTCCGCCACAACTCCCGCCCACAGTGCCACCACCCCAGCTAGGCCTCGTACATCTTGTGTGTTATATTGGAGAGTCATTCATCCACACTCCCCCTGCCCCATACGTGTCCCAGACTAAGTCCCATTTTGCCCGTGTTTGTATGCCTGGTATGTGCTATTCAGTCTGTGGGACATTTCTTCATACACTCTGGTCTTTTGAGTTTCTCTAGTACCATATTCAGTGTTGGGGTCTGCGTATTTTTCCATAAGGATGCTAAGCTGTTCTACGCGGCTATCAGTACATGAATAATTGCTGATCTGTCCGCTTTTTTGTACAGCTTTGGAAATATTTGTAAGATGTAGGGTGCAATGTGAAGCGGAATACCCTGCCCTGTCATGGTGAGTATCACCTCTTTGATTTGTGTCCAGAAAGGCTGGAGTGTTTTGCAATACCAGAACATATTGAGATTGGCTTAGAAATGGAAGAATTTGTAAAAGCTGATGCAGGCCTAAGCCAACCCCTCAGAGCTGTCAATTAGGCCGTTCAAACCTTAACTCTGCCAATAACTGGACATGAATTTATAAACACCTTCTAACAGTACAAGATGCACTTGTACCTAAAGTAGAGCGCTAAAGTGCAAGAATATGGAGAATGACTTCCCCCTGTTTGAAACAGGTAAATACAGTACGAAATTCAATACATGAAAAACAAAAGAGTAAAAATATTTAAATAGTGCAATAGCATAAAGTCAGACCACTCACATGTAATGGAGCCTATATGCATTGGCTCCGTATATCAGGCAGTTATGCTCTTTGGGCAGCATCACACCACTCCTTCATAGAGATATATTCTCCAGTAAAGAGAGAAAGAGACCAATATGGTGTAGTATGTCAATCAAATTGACAACTAATATGAGGTAAATATTGAGTTCACCTTATGTACAGCCAAAGGTCCCAGGCTCTAAGGTATCAAGGTATAGTGCCACTATAGAGGGAATGGTACTTCTCCAAAAATGAAGATTCCTGAGGCTGTGTAGGATATGTTTAAAATACTAAAACAGAAGAGGTGGAGCTTAGCCACTGAAGCAAATGGGCGCATGTCCCTGGAGCTCCGAGCCTCAAGCCGTTGAAAACCCACTTTCCGACACAAATACGGCGTTGATTGGACCTGGGGAACACCACCAGTTCGCCCAGAAAATCCAAAAAGCCCAAGTCAGACAGACCGAGCATGGGGCTGGATATCGGGGAAATGTGGCGGCAGGCGCAGAAGAATTTTCGGAACACTCTCTGACGAGCTCTCTTTGGACGAGGAAGACGACATCATACCTGCCATCCCGAGGCTGAAGACAGGTCCAACGATGCCAGACTCAGCTCCGGTCACCACTGCTGTTCTCAAGGAGCTCCTGGCAGACCTGAAAACTACTCTCCAGGCGGACATAGCCTTGATCCGTGGAGGCTTGCAGGGCCTGACGGGCCACATCGGAGTCCTGGAGGAAGCCACTCATACAGGCACACCGCGCATGAACACGCTGCAATAAGAGATCAGAGACCTACAGAAACAAAACCAAATGTATGATCGCTGCTACGCGGCACAGGAAGACACCCGACGCCGGAACAATATTAAAATTAGAGGGATCACAGAGGACGTACCAGAAGCTGAACTGCCACACCTAATGAGGAGACTCATGGGCACCCTACTATCAAAGTGACAAGCTAAAGCTGTAACGCTGGACGCCCTCTTCCGCATTCCCAAACCGACTAAGGCACCGACAGCTATCCCACTGGATCTGGTAGCCCAATTCCGGTCTGGTACCGATAAAGCAGCGATCCTCCAGGCCCTCAAGGGAACAACCCAATACCAATTCGAAGGCATGTCGCTGGCCTTTTACCAGGACCTTTCGAATAGCACCCTAGCCTGGCGGAGGTCTCTCAGGCCACTTCCTTCACTCCTACAGCAGCGAAACATACGTTACCACTGGCGCATGTCTCGCACCCTCATGGTAACCCATGAAGAATCCACACACCTGCTCCAAGACATCCAGGAAACAGCTACACTCCTACAAGCCTTGGGTCTGCTGCAGGATTGTCTGAGCAGCAAGGGCCCCATCACTGCCTCCCAGCCTCCACACACGTGGAATCCTGCGACAGCTTCCCGTTCTTTCCGCGGGGGCACCGGATGGACCGTTATTAACGAACTGAAAGCCGTCTCCTGCCCAGCCCTCTCTTATAGGGCTATGTTTATTGTTCCTTGCAATGCCTTAGTTAACTTGGCTTTCTCTTAATGCGATGCTTCCTTAACTTTCCCCACCTCTGATGACTTGACGTGGTAGACATGACACCTATGTCACATACCTCCCACACTCCGGGGCCTCACCGACTGGGCCACCTCATGACTTAGAGAAGGGAGGCAGTAAAATATTTGCCATGCATATACGCTCCCTCACGCTAATTTACCCGACACAACGGACGCACAAGTCAGGTGCGATTACAGTCCTGTAAAACCACACCTGGGCCCAAAGCACATACCTGACCGCACTCGAATACTGTTTGTACACAAGCAGGCCAGCCTCACATACTACACCGCATAGCTGTGAACTGACAGATGAGACACGCAGACACTATCACTACAGCACCGGCAGCTGCTTTAAAGTCAGCAACATGCTGGTGTACTCTTGCTATTTAAATTAGTTACTAAGCATCCTTAAAAAGTAGAAAAATGTTAGTGCTGAAATTGAATACCATGAAAATGTTTCTGATGTACTGTTTCTACGACTGGTACCCGCTGTTGTGGCGCTACTAGCATGTTTGTTATCTACTAAGCACGGAAAAATAAAGAATTAAAAAAAAAAATACTAAAACAATTTATTAACAAAAAAGTTAAAAACAGTAAAATAAAATAAATACTGTCCACACTATATCTGGATATCCAAAGTCAGCCAATACGCGTTCCACTGTCTGATGCTGCCGTAAGAGAATATCTGCCTGATATAGGGAGCCAATGCATATAGGCTCTGTTACATGTGAGTGGTCTGATTTTATGCAATTACACTATTGAAATATTTTTACCATTTGCACTATATTTGTATTAATTTGTTTTTCATGTATTGAATTTCGTACTGTATATACCTCTATCAAACCCGGGTACGGTAAGTCATTCCCCATATTCTTGCACTTTAGCGCTCCACTATAGGTAGAAGGTGTTTATAATTTTGTGTTGTGTGGGGAAAAGGGTATCCCACATTAAAGTGTAGAACTGCTACTCTATATATGTAAAGCAATTTTTTGACCTAACACACTTACTTTGTGAGAGGAGTTTCGTTTTAGTTATAATAACTGGACATGGCACAGTTTAAGAAACAGTAAACCAAGTTTTCTGTGAACTGATTGCAGTCCCAGTAGAGTGTAACTGCTCTTTTGGTATAAACGACTTATTTTGTAAATCTCTGCTCACAGGGCTCATTGTTTAAGGAAAGACCCATAGACCAGCTTGTTACTCTTTTGATTGGGGCCTTTCTAACTGGGGTGGGAGGGCTCTGCATGGTGCTCTAGGCAGATTCACTAAACAAGAAAATGTATTGTAAATTTCCTTTTTAGGTCATAAACCAGAGAAGCTATAGGTTTATAGGAAAAACAATGCAATAGCACCCCTACCCCTTGCCTTACCCAATCTGATATACAGACCGTGCCAAAGGTGGGAACTTAGTGCTGTCATAGCCTAGGAATAGAAAATTATAGTTAGAATTCATTTTCCTAATTCTCGGCCACATCCATTGCAGCACTTACTTATAGGGATTCCAAAGCAAGGTAGGTAGAAGACAAACTATTATGCAAAATTATTGTTATCAAAAATAAATAAAATTAAGCTAAAGGTCATCCTAAAGTGCCCTTATGAAGGTGGCAGCTCTTCCTACCTGATCCCCTGAATCTCCTGTTCCAGCTCCTCAAAAGGTGGAAAGGGCCTTTTGGGCAGTGGAGTGAGCCTGCAAGTCTTGATCTACTGAAGATTTCATGGTTTGATAGGTGACCTTGATGAAGAGTGAAACAGCCGTGACATAAGCCTTGGCTAGATTCCTCACCGGGAGCCTCATCGTACACAAAGAGTTGTGCGCATGTCTACATGGACATGGAGCATTAATATTTGGGTGCAGAGTCCCAGACCCTAGAGTCCTTTTCACTAGAGGGTACATACTAGAAATCTTCTCTTGAATGGACACTTTTTTTTTCCCCTCTTGGATCAGCCAAGAGGCTGAAATCTCCCAGTTCAAGTCCTTGACCAATCTGAATGCTTCTGTGCATGGGTTTGCATCGTTAATTCCCATTAAAACCGACTGTCAAACATTTGGAGAAGAGGAAGGAGAAACAGCAGAGGCTTGCACACAGGATAGGCATAATTTTCTGCTTCCCAAGGCCGTTTTATTGCACACCTTACAAGGTGTGTTTTATTTTGTTTTATGTTTTATTTTGTTTTATTATTAAAAGGAGATTTGTCTCCGTTCACTGCATTTGTATTTTTTTTAAATTATTTAATTACTCTCTACAATTCCCTGTTGAATAATTAATCTCCTATTTTCTAAATAAAATACTATAGCTTTGTCATTGCATGCATTTTTTATCATCTTCATCATCATGTCTGTTTTTAGATTGTAAGCTCTTTGTAAAGATTCAGGACAATCATGTTATTTCAGCATCCTGATGTCCTACGACCACGTGGAGATGACGTTTAGTGATATGGAGAACACATCGGATGAGTTCAGAGGGACTAAAAAGGGCAGTGTAATTCTGACACCCTACAGGGTAAGAACAGATATCTTAACATAATGTTTTATTGTTTCTTTACTCCTATAATATTTGTTGCTTTAGGTGCAACAGTTATTTTGGGACTAAAAGTTCCCTTCTGTCCACCCCTCTTTGCTGATAAAAAAAATAAATTAAAGCTAATGATTACTCCACTCTTTTCTAGTGCTGGGAATTCTTCACTACAGCCTCCAGGTCTGCCTCCAGTGATATCAGCATCCAAGATGACATCACTAGTGATCTCTTCCAATCCATTGCTTTTCATGGAGAAGCAATGGATTGGTACTAGGCAAATTATCCTCCAATCGAATGCTGTTATCTGGAGTATTTGATTCCAAGACCAAGGTTCTGGATTAGAAGGCACTCCTAATGACTGTCAGGAAGGCAGACACTAGAGGTGTATTAACCCTGTTACGTAAACATTGTAGCACCTGACAGGACCACTGCTCCCAGACCACTTAATGGACTTTGGTGGTCCTTAAAGAGAACTACGCTTACTACATTTGGGACGCAAAGATACTTGCCATTTTATCATTCACTGGCAGCAAATGTATTCCATGTATTGCCTCTCATAAATGAAAACAAAAATTTGAGGTGGCACTCTAGTAATCATATCCTCTTCAGCTTATTTAAGTGATGGTGCTGTATACCCTGTAACTGCCCGCTTTTGCATGACAAAATTGTTAAACTGATAAATTGGGCTTGGTAGAGAAGCTAGTAGTTTTCCCTCCAAGCCTTGTCAGTCAAAGAACTGGGAATTACATTTCCTGGCTTGTGTATGATTCTGTATGGTCAGTGGCACCAATCATCACATATATAGCAACAACACATGCAGGCACTAGCACCAGTCATCACATATATAGTTACCGGACATTCATGTCCCTTCACATTAGCATAATATGCATGCTGAATGGTGTAATTCAACGGCAGGGCATTAAAGCACTATTTTATCACTTTGACAAATTTGTTAAATGTAAATGTACTGGGACATGGCCAAGGTCACCATAACCACTTTAATAAGATGAAGTGGTTAGGTTGCCTAAGGTATCCCTATAAACTAAAAGTTCTAAAAAAAAGTGCGTCTTATTATAGGTGTGCAATTAGCTGTCATATTGTAGTTGAAATAATAATTTCGGAATACTGACTCTGCCTGTACTAGGCAATTGTTTTTAAAGCTTCTGGGCACAATGGAGAAATAGTATAGAAAATCCGTGCATCCAGAGTAAAAGTACTACTGATGAGATGCTCACATTTTAAAATGCATGGAGTGGTTGTCACCTGGTGTATATTTGTTTGTTTACTGCTGGTAATATGTTTGATCTACAGGTTATATTCATGTCCAAAGGGAGAGACTACATGCAGTCATTCATGCTGCCTTTCTATCTGATGAAGGATGTTGAAATCAAACAGCCTGTTTTTGGAGCTAACTTTATTAAAGGCAGCATCAGGGCAGAGCCTGGAGGTAAGTGTCACATGAACGTAGACCAAATTGTACCCAGTACACAAAAAATTTATTACAAAGTAAGTATTGTATTACAAAACCGTTATCCACAACATTATATATAAGTAACAAAGACCTTGATTTAAAGGACCACTATAGTGCCAGGAAAACATACTCGTTTTCCTGGCACTATAGTACCCTGAGGTTGCCCCCACCATCAGGGACCCCCTTCCGCTGGGCTCTGGGGAGAGGAAGGGGTTAAAATCTTACATTTCTCCAGTGCCGGGCGGGGAGCTCTCCTCCTCCTTTCCACCTCTTCTCCTCCTCTTTGGCTGAATGCGCATGTGCGTCAGGAGTTGCGCGCGCATTCAGCCAGTCTCATATGAAAGCATTCATAATGCTTTCCTATGGACACTTGCGTCTTCTCACTGTGATTTTCACAGTGAGAAGCACGCAAACGCCTCTAGCGGCTGTCAGTGAGACAGCCACTAGAGGCTTTAGAGGCTGGATTAACCTATTTATAAACATAGCAGTTTCTCTGAAACTGCTATGTTTATATAAAAATGGGTTAACCCTAGCTGGACCTGGCACCCAGAACACTTCATTAAGCTGAAGTGGTCTGGGTGCCTAGAGTGGTCCTTTAATATTGTTGGATAAGTTTTCCAAGTGATTTCATATTTTTGAATAAACCTTTAAAATTATTTTTCAGCATATTAAAAGATAAAAAAAATCATATATTAAAAAAAAAATCTAAATGTTACACAATTAAGATATTTTTCATAATATTAAATAGTTGAAAATCTAATCCAGCAATATTAAATTGATACCAAAATCTGCTTAAAACAACCGATAACAATTAAAAATCACTAAGTGTCTACATAGCAAAGAAAAATGTTTACTTACCTTTTTCTCCCTCGCCATGGTGCTCTCTCTATAGGAAGCTCTGCTTCCCTGGCTGAGATCATTAATCATGAGGATCTCGACCAAAACAATGATTTCTTATAGGAAAGCATTGGGAGGCTAGAGTGCATGCGGGGCCGCACTGTACTTTCTATGAGACCATCTGATTGATCTGATTAATTGGCTATTTGGACGGAAGTTGCAGCCAGTGACAGCCACTAGAGTCATTTAAACCCTGTTTAGGTGTTTGAAATGTACCTTGAAGCATTACATTGTGCTGGAATGTTGTTTTACACTATCTCTTTTGCAAGCTTACCAGATAGAGGCGCTATTGTATAAGCTAAAATTTTGAAATACAATTACTTTAATTTCTGAACTGAAGTCTCCATTCTTTTGGGACCTTCTAGCAGTTGTAAGATCCCTAATCTTGAACATAAAAAAAGCATTTGCCTATTCCAAATTGCGTAGGGTAACAGTTCAGATTTAAGACCGTATTGGATAAATGGATAATATTACATAAATGGTGTTTTTGACCAAAGAGGACTAAATATGGTCGCCATGCCAAGAAACGCAAACAAACTCCAAACTTTCTATTCACCTAAATACGCTGAAATCAAAAAAACCTTGATTTTCTCATCTTCTTCCACTGAAAGTGTACATTCTGTGAAATAAAATTAAAAAAGAACAATACAGTGCTTCAAAATCAACAATACTACCATTTCGAATTGTATCTCTCTGCTGTAAGAGATTAAAAGGTAATATGTTTGACAACATGGCTGCATTGTCCTCCTTGGAGCTCATAATCTTATTTAAACACCTTTCCCACCATGCATTTTCAAAGGGAATAGTAGATCCAACGGAATGGTCTTTCCTTTAGCCATAAATTGCCTTTAGTAAATATCAAAATTTCATTAAGGAATTCATTTTATCCACATTTTTAAATCCAGGGTCTTTTTTTCAACATAGTGAATACAGATGATCGTGTCACTTCTTCTTATGCCATTCTTTTTATAAATATGCATTAAAACTGTATTCATAATACTTAAAACAAATCTTAATTGTAAATCTAGGGAGTTTCCATTTAATATCAGAACTTATTTCCAGATTTGGGTATACGCAGCCATTTAAAAATCCTGTTATCTTTTGCACAATAGTGTTCTTTGTTTCTTTAAACTAGCTTCCCTCATTCAAATTAGGTGGAAGATTTGGCAAGCATCTGGTTTGAAAAGATTATTTTTTTTTTTACCTTTTGCTGACCATATTATTGTTGCTTCAAGCAGTGTTGAAATGACCTTTCAGATATTAAGCAAAGTTTGAAATCAGTAAAACGATGAATGCATTATTAATTCAATGTAGATTTTAACCTATGTTGATCAGAATATTTACCCACATTAACAATACAGGATGGAAATGGTAATAAAATCTTAGAGCCACCTTCATCATTTTTTCTTTCATTTTTTTTTTAGCTATTTGATTGCTAATTAAAAGATTTCTGTATGTGTTATAGGTAGTAAGTATCAGTGAGTGTTACAGTAGGCATGTTTATCTCCTTTGTTGAAATTGGGATGGTACCCACTCATGCCCGAGTACGGTGATGTAGTGTTGGGCTTGACATGATATGGCCATGTGTGTTGTTCCTTAATTTGTATTTTGTATACATTTTGGTATTTATGGCAGCACCACTGCTGAGAAATACATGTTTCGGTTGTGCCCCCAATTCCCTTTTTTTTTATGTAGAAAATTGATGTAGACAGGACATCTGCCTTTCTCTTACCATTGGATTATGAAATCGTCAGAGCGGGAACATTAGAAGGTCACTGAAAACATGTTTGTGTGGTTAAAACGTTAAATTTGAGGGTTTCAGGAAAGAAAGAACACAACAGGATGCCACTTAAAACATTCTGAGAAAAATGCACTGCTAAAAAGGTTCAAAAGTCAGTTCTTGAACTAAAGCCATAAATAAATAATTAAAGAAGCCCTTTGCCTACATAGCGTCTTTCTTCCTACAAAACTTCATACATATTGCAAAAATGCGGCTCATACAACATACGTTTTTTTTTTGTTTTGTTTTTTGTTTTGTTTTTTGTATTGTTACATCATGCCTAAAATATTATCTTATTACAGGGTTTGACAAATTTGCTTTGAATGTAGGAGCCAGATTTTTTTTTTTAAGCTTTATATTCAACAACAAAAATGCAATTCTTAAAGGGACACTATAGTCACCAGGACCACTACAGTTTAATGTAGTGGTTCTGGTGTCTATATGTAAACACTGCCTTTTCAGAGAAAAAGCTGTGTTTACATTGCTTCCTAGTGACACCTCTTGTGACAGTCACTCAGACGGTTTCTTGAGGTGCATCTACATTTAGCCTCTCCACGCTCTGCATGGAGGCGCTGAATGTTGCATGGAGGCGCTCAACTGCCCTATGAGGAGATGCTGATTGGTGCAGCGTTTTGCAGCCAATCCTATGGGAAAACATCGGATTTTTGCTGAGTTCATCAAGCTTGGTAATCTCAGGCATAGAGGCAGGGCCAGTTGAGGGGAGACCAGCACAGCGTGGGAAAAAAGGTTAGTAAAAACACCATTAACCTTGCGAACGGAAAGGATCTGGTCACCTAAACATGCACATCATGACAGACACACACACATACCATGACAGACAGACACATCTACAATGACATAATCAGACACACATGTTAATGACACACACACACACACACCTCATGACGTGCAGACACATACACTCACACTGACAGACATACACTCACAGACACACATTATTGCTTGTTCTAAAATGTGTGGGGTCCAGTAGGTGACTGGCTGAGGGATTGTGGAGGCGGACTGCATTCTGGGGGACTGTGGAGGCGAGCGGCAAGCTGGGTGATTATGGGGGCGGGTGGCATGCTGGGGGGTCGTGGAGGCAGACGGCTGGCTATGCGTATTGTTGCTGGGCGGCGAGGTAGCTGTGATGTTCCTACTCTGGTCTGCTCCCTTCCGCGCTGATTATTCAGGCCAGAGTCAGAATATGATGTCATATTCCGGCCCCGGCCCCACTAAGGGGCCCGCGAGGGAGCAGACCAGGGACATCACAGCTACCTCGCCACCCGCCTAGTATTCGAGCAGCCAGCAACCTGCCTCCACGACCCTTCAGCATGCTGCCCTTCTCCATAATCCCCCAGCTTGCCGCCCATCTCCACAATTCTGCTCCCGGCCTCCAGCCCGCCTTGGCGGTAACAAGCTCACATACCCCAAGCGCCAAGGCAAATCCCCTAGGCGCCATGGCGACCTGGGATTTGTGGAGCCCTGTCTTATTATGATATTGTCTCCAGCATAAGTCACAAGGGCCACTAGTTGCTGTCCTTTAAAATGAATGGATTTATTCACTTAGCTGGGAATTGTGTAGGACTCACAAGGAATTACATAGAAACATAGAATGTGACGGCAGATAAGAACCATTCGGCCCATCTAGTCTGCCCAATTTTCTAAATACTTTCAATTAGTCCCTGGCCTTATCTTATAGTTAGGATACCTTATGCCTATCCCACGCATGCTTAAACTCCTTTACTGTGTTAACCTCTACCACTTCAGCTGGAAGGCTATTCCATGCATCCACTACCCTCTCAGTAAAGTAATACTTCCTGATATTATTTTTAAACCTTTGTCCCTCTAATTTAAGACTATGTCCTCTTGTTGTGGTAGTTTTTCTTCTTTTAAATATAGTCTCCTCCTTTACTGTGTTGATTCCCTTTATATATTTAAATGTTTCTATCATATCCCCCCTGTCTCGTCTTTCCTCCAAGCTATACATGTTAAGATCCTTTAACCTTTCCTGGTACGTTTTTATCCCGTAAATCCATGAACCAGTTTAGTAGCCCTTCTCTGAACCCTCTCTAAGGTATCAATATCCTTCTAAAGATACGGTCTCCAGTACTGTGTAGAGGTCTCACCAGTGTTTTGTACAATTGGCATGAGCACTTCCCTCTTTCTACTGCTAATACCTCTCCCTATACAACCAAGCATTCTGCTAGCATTTCCTGCTGCTCTATTACATTGTCCACCTGGTATCCCTTTTAAGTAGTTCCAGGGTGGTATCCCTTTAAGGAGTCCCCTCTAAGGGTCCAAGAATGGTATCTTTAAGGAATTTGAGGGATCTATCCCTTTAAGGGATTTTTGGGGGTGAAATCCCTTTAAAGTTCCAGTACCTTGAACCACTATACATGAGTACGACTCAAATCTGTAAATAATATGCCAGTTAGAATACTTACCTTTGCCTTGATTTGAACTTAGGACCCTGGGGTCCAACGTCCATGTCAGAGCATCCTGAGCCACAAGAGTAGCGAATTGCAAATTTTACTCCGGAAAAGTTAAATCAGAATAATTCTAATCTACCACTTTAATATTTTCCACCTGGACTGTTTTAACTTTAATTGTTAAAATCTCCATTATTTCCCCACGTTTTCAAATTTAATAAACTTAAAGCAGAGTTAGCATAATTAATCTCCTCTCACCCCATTAAAGACCATCTATCTCACCTGTTTATTATATCTGCTGAGGGAGCAAATGCAAGGGGGATTTTAGATGCTGTGTTTAAAACATCAGTCGTGTCTCCCCGCCAATGAGCTCTTATAATACTAAGCTCATTGGTAATTTAATTTTGGAAGTCGTGTTTGAAAATCAACAAAGGATAAAATATCAGGATAAAAACAAAGTTCATGAAATGATCATCTTATATCCTCCCCAGCCCATTTACTAGTGTCCTCTGTTCTGGACATTTCATTCACATGCATCTCCTTTTATTCTTTTGAGCTACTCTATCAACCCTGCTGTATTGTAAAGAGGACATCCTGGGCTTTCCACTGATATGTCATGTGATAGGCTGGGATGCTGGGAACTTCCTCTTCCTTTTCATCAAAAATGGAAAGAAATTGGAAGACAATGTTTCTCCTTGGTTCCCAGGAGGCTATAATATTGGATTGCGATAGATAACTGCACGTTTGTGAACTACATATCCCGTCATGCAAGCAGTATACACTTCACTTATAATAAGGCACATTTTAATTTAAAATTACATTCTTTGTCCGTAGGGGGCTGGGAAGGATCTGCCACATTTAAGCTGAACTTCCCTTCAGGAGGTGCCATAGAATTTGGCCAGAGCATGGTGCAAGTGGCTTCTCAAGGTGAGTTTGAGTTTGTATGTGTACACTCTCAATTTTTATTTTTATTTTTAAATAATGGAAACATGAAGTAAATGCATATTATGTGCTCTTTTTCTTTTTTTCCAATAAAAAATAGCTTTTGCTGTATATATCTATGAAAGTCAATGCCTGGACGCAGAAAATATATTTCAAAGCTAATATGTGTGCTCAAATGTTCCTAACTGCGTTCTTTGACTAACAGTGCAATAGTAACACTTTTTCATTGCAGTGTACAGTGCCATTTTTAATGTAACCACTAGGGTGAGGAGTCTTCGCGTTAGTGGACTATCCACTTTTAGTCATTTTATACAAGAGGCAATGGGATGTGTGTTATGCTCCTATCTTTGTTAGCCAGACTGCACATTGCTGAACATGATTGGTGTTAGCCCAGGGTCCACGCTGGTTAAAGGGTTAATCCAACCAAAACCGTATTTTGATAATACATTGTTTTGGATGGCTTAACTCTTGCTGGCATGTTCCCCTCTTGTAAAAGAATAAAGTAATAAAGCAAAAACATACACGTGATCCCACACCGCTGACAAGTTCTCCCTGCAGCCTGATCCTCCTCTGGATGGGGAGGAACATCCCAGAGGACAGGCTGAGGGAAGGTCTTGGACGGCACAGAAGGGGCCATGCCGCCATTGGTCCTCTGTTGCCAAAATAATATGTGTTCTTGCAACAGACACCCAAGAATTAATGGATCACTTTAGTGTTAGGAATACAAAGGTATGCGGCGGGGCGCTGGGACTTTCCTGGAGCGGCACCGGTACATTACCAAACAACAGCCTGTGAGCTGAATTTAGCACTAAGGGGAACATTGCAGCACTAAGGGGAACAGAGACACTGCACCCTGACCAATTCAATGAGCTGACATGGTCTGGGTGCCTTTAGTGTCCCTTTTAACATTAGCCAACCTGGAACACTTATGTTATACTTCTGCACATACAGATTCCAAGAGCTATAACCACTTCAAAACACAGAAGACAAGAGAGACACTGCTGTGTAGCAATTTAATATTGCACAGTTACTACTATGCAGATAGGAACTTCCTGGTTACATTTTGTGTACATTATACACTGTATCACAATAGAAGCGTTCAGCAGCCCTTAACCCCTTAAGGACCCATGCCATGTGTGACATGTCATGATTCCCCTTTATTCCAGAAGTTTGGTCCTTATGGGGTTAAAGGACCACTATAGGCACCCAGACCACTTCAGCTTAATGAAGTGGTCTGGGTGCCAGGTCCATCTAGGGTTAACCCTTTTTGCTGTAAACATAGCAGTTTCAGAGAAACTGCTATGTTTATAAATGGGTTAATCCAGCCTCTAGTTGCTGTCTCATTGACAGCCGGTAGAGGTGCTTCGCGCTTCTCACTGCGATTTTCACAGTGAGAAGACGCCAGCGTCCATAGGAAAGCATTGAGAATGTGTTCCTATGAGACTGGCTGAATACACGCGTGGCTCTTGCTGTGCATTCAGCCAGGGACGTCAGAAGAGGGAGGAGAGTCCCGGTGCTGGAAAAAAAGGTAAGGGATTAACCCCTTCCTCCCTCTTCAGCGCTACGGGAGTGGGACCCTGAGGGTGGGAGCACCCTCAGGGCACTATAGTGCCAGGAAAACGAGTATGTTTTCCTGGCACTATAGTGGTCCTTTAAACACAGTGTCTGCACCACTAGGTGGCCGTAAGCAAATATAAAGAAATTCTCAGTACTCCAGGATATGTGTGGCACCAAATAATAATTGAATGATTTATAATACAAGCACCATACACATGATTTGAAAAAAAATATAAAATAAATAATTTTACCACTGTTTACTTGTTTTGTAAATAACTATCAGATCTTATAATTACCATATATTGAACACAAACATTTTTTTTCTTTGTGCAAAATTATGTTTAACCCCTTAAGAACCAAACTTCTGCAATAAAAGGGAATCATGACTCAATGAGACAGCCACTAGAGGATTTGAGGGCTGGATTAACCCATTTATAAACATAGCAGTTCTCTGAAACTGCTATGTTTATAAAAAAAATGGGTTAACCCTAGCTGGACCTGGCACCCAGACCACTTCATTAAGCTGAAGTGGTCTGGGTGCCTAGAGTGGTCCTTTAATGTAATGTTCATATTACAGTCTTTTTAATTTTGTGGGATCTCTTTTGGAGTTTCAGTGTTTTACAGTGATTCTCATCCTTTCTAACTTACATACCTAATTTTTAACTCCAGTAATATATTCATGGATCCCGGCAGCTGATTTTAGTGTACAAACATGTAATATTATTCTCCAATTAATAATATTTACACTACAATTATCTTTTTGATAATTAACTCGTTGATGTGTGGACCAGGCGAAATGAGTCTTGTTGGGATTATTTATTAGAACATTGGCATATGATTATGCAAATGGTAGAAAGCATATTTCAAAAGGTAAAACAATAAAAGAAAGCGCAATAAATACATCAAACAATAAAAGTGGTTTTTGAAGTAAGCTGCTGAATTGGATCAAAGCATTTCCTCAACGTGCCAAAATTCAGGAAACAATGTTTAACAAAAAATAAAAGGTTTACAATGTATAATCAATATATATTATTTATTTATAAAATATTTTACCAGGAAAGATACATTGAGATTTTTCACGTTTTCAAGTATGTCCTGGGTCCACAAATCATTGCATTGTTACGTATATTGTTATATATATTGATTGTATAGTATCACAGACTATACTAGCAAATAATTTCAAGTGAATATAGTACATAATACTATTGATTTAGACATTTAACCCTCTCATCACTGCTGTTTTTTGGTTGAATATATTTCAAAAGCTTCAAGAGATTACTTACAGGAAAAAATATTTATTACCTAAAAATAGAATCAGAATGGCACTTATCTCTGTAAGAGGATTAGGTCAGGCTCTGCAGGTTCCTGAATGCCATGCATATTTAAACTATTACATTTCAACAGACACCGGAGGAAGTGTCATTTAATGTAATTTTTAAATGGATTACAAGTGACTCTTTGGTTATCCCAAGTGTTGAGTTTTCAAGCAATTGTAGATTATATTTACGTAGTGTATCTATAATCTTAATTTTACTAATAACAGGAGGCGGATATTTTGCATACATTTCTTTACTGTAAACTTCAGCAGCAAAGATCAGTCATAAAGTTTAAACCAATCATAACAAAAGACACCAGCCTCTTCCTCTTTCTTTGGTGTGAGAAGAACAGTAAAGTAGGCAACAGAACCACTTGAAGTCAAAACCGAAATAAAGAACATGATCCTTCCCGAAAGATTGAAGAGGATGCTTGAGCCACTCCAAACAGCCAGAAGACGGATGGTTCACGCTGAAAAGAACAGAAATCAAGTGAAAGACGAGCGTAATGGTGACTTGCCAACATAAACACATACATTAAATTGAATATGTATATATCTATAACGACTGTAAAAATGAAACAAATTCAACAATATTTACTATATAACGAACCCACTCGTAGAATATAACCCAGAATGTTAAAGGAAAAGACACAACCACATGCAAGCGACAGAGGCAAGAAGGGTGGGAATAAGGTGGGAAAATATGACACCGCCGCGCTCCTGATCGATTGTGCCCCAAAGCACAAATCTATGCCAGCTAATGACAAAAGCCATCTCACCTATCTTGCAAGGGTCGCAGAAGAGACCGGCTTATGTGGACGCACATACGAAATAAGAGTTGTCCAGACGGAGCCCGGCGCAGAAAAGAGGTAACCTCCACGTATTGGAGCAACGTCTTAACCACGCAAATCTGCGGGTCAGCAGGAAAAAAACAGGTAAAAAAAACGAAGTAGAGTTAGTCTTAGTCAGACATGAAATAGAAAAAATAACCCCTTCTGGCGAGAAGATGCCATCGACATCAAAGGCCCGAACTTTCAAAACCAGATGAAAGGAGACCATACAAAGTAATAGTGTAAATTTTGCAGAGAGTTGGCGAAGTGACATCAACGGGTTATCCAGCAAATCCCTAATGAAACGAAGGACCACGTCCCAGAGCCGAGAATATTTCGGAGCGGATGGACGTAATAATCGGATACCACGAAACAGTCGACATGTGCGGGTTCTGCCCTACTGGCAAACTGAGAACTGGAATATGTGCGACAGAAATGGGCGAAAGGTAAGTGTTAATGGAACCATATGAACTACCTGAGGCAAATAGTTGCATCAGGAAATTCGGTATGACTGGTAGAGGTGCCGTAAGGGAATCGGAATCCCTCTCCAAACACCAACTATTCCACTTGTTCCAGGCAACAAGGTAACTGCGTCTACTGCCGGGAGCTCATGAGTCCCAGAATAAGTCTTTAGTAGCCTGCGATAAGCCGTCGACATTCCAAGATTCCCTGAAATCATGCAAGCCGCTATTTCTGGACAGTCATGCAGGATGAGAGGATGTTGTTCCCCCATGGGGTTGGAGAGTAGAAACGGAAAACTTCGGAAGAAGAATTGGATGGTCATAGAACAGTTCCGACAGGTCCAGGAACCATGCTTGGCTCGGCCACAACGTTGAAATCAGTAGCAGTGAGATCCTCCATACGCGCAGTTGGTGTAGAACTCTCGCCAACAAGGAGCAAGGTTTGTTTGAATGCGTACGCCCCTAGAAAAGGCCATTCCTGTAGGAACGCGTCCACCGCTTTGCAGTCCGGATCCGGGAGCCAACTGAAGAACTGTGGAAGTTGGTAATTGGTCCTTGATACAAAAAGATCTATCAGTAGAGGTCTCCTGCATTCTAACAGCGGAATACCAGTCCGCTGTTAGACTGGACGTATCCAGTAAATATTCTGCCCTCAAGGTAATGTTGAGCGACAGGCAAAAGGTGTAAATGTACTTTGTTGCTTCCGCAAGTGCTCAGGAGCGTGCTCCGACCAGCTTGTTGATGTACTGGACTACCGAGATGTTGTCCATGCGGAGTAGTATGCAGCAATCTGACATGGTTTTCGCCAATCTTTGTATTGCAAACAAGCTTTCGATCAGTTCCAGACAGTTGATGTGCAGCCCCGTTTCCTCTGCTGACCATGGACCCCCAGTGGAGAAGGATGCGCAGTGTGCGCCCCAGCCCCACAGGCTGGTGTCCGAATCTAACACAAAATTCGCTGAGGGACCAAATGGGGCTTTCCCATTCCAGGCCTGCATGTGCCGAATGTCTGGATTGAGTGGTACTAGGTGGCCGTAGGAGAAGCTTGCTCGGAGAAAGCGAGCTTTGAGGCGCTGCATGGCCCTGTAGTGTAGTGGTCCGGGATAGATTGCCTGAATCAAAGTGGACAGCAGGCCCGCTACACGTGCTAGTAGTTGGAGTGGGACCTGGTGCATCTTAACTTCCGAATTTCTTTCCGTATGGATGCAGTCTTCGAGAGGGGAAGTAGTAGAACGCAAGAAGTCGAGTCTATCTCGAATCCCAGAAATTGTACAACTTGTGTCGGCTCTAGTGTCGATATTTCCCGGTTTACCATGAAACACAAGAATTCCAGGAGGTCAACGACAACGTTTATCTGAGAAGTTAGGCATGAGGCTGAGTCATAGAAGATGAGCAAGTCGTCTAGATATATCAGACATCTTACTCCGTGAAAGTGGAGGTGGGCCATGACTGGCTTTAGAAGCTTAGAGGCAGGTGAACTGGCACGTGGCGCCTTTCCAGAGGAACCCAAGGAATTTCCGACAGCAAGGTGCTACTGACACTGTGTAGGTAAGCGTTCTTAGGTGCTGAAGGATGAAGTCTGGGGCCATGGCCCAGAAGCGGCTGGTGCTCAACCTCTCTACCAACCAGCCCTTCCAAAAACACCTCTTGTTGGATCAGAGGAGAACACTTGCCTCATCGAAGCTTGGGTCTTGTTTAAGGTCGTGAAGAGTGAGACGTGCTTTTTAAGCTCATGGATGAAGGCCTTACAAAACAGGAGACCATTGACTGAAGGGCAGTGATCTTTTCTAGCCATGTCCATCAGCTTGACGTCGAACCGGAGTAATGCGGGTCTGTGCCTTTCGGTACACAAGTCAGCATTGGTGTTACCTAGCAGGCAGATATTGCGCTGTGCCCATTTCCGAATGGCATGCGAGTCCACTTGGGAGCCCTAGGAGAGAGCCAAATCCACGAAGTACAGTATTGGTCCCAGGATGTCCAGTAGTTTGTCCTGTGTGGCTTTCAGACCATTTTCCGCTGCTTTTGGGGGATTGCGCCCTGACCTTGACATGAAAATGACCACTGTTTAGTCAAATTCCGGGGTGATCGCCATCTTGTCCAGTAAGTAGGTCGAGGGCATTCCGCCCGGAGTCTGGGGTCTCACCTCCCTGTCAATGGGCCTGCGGATCCAGAAGTGGACGAACTTGTCCATATGAGAAGGCCGGGACCACTGCGAGGATCTTGGGTGTCATACGGTCCCAGTATTAAACATGAGGCACCCCTGGGTATGCAGGAACACCCCGTAATTTCCTTGTGCGACCTGAATGTCTCCGTGAGGAAAGGGACCTCCTATATACGATTCCTTAACATATTTCGACTCTGTGGTCGGATGGTCCAGCCATTCATCCTCACCGCCAGATGCAGAGTCTTCCACCCGCCATTTGTCTAAAATGTCTAGGCCAGCAGCACCTCCTCTGAGGACATCACAGGCGGTGGTTGTTCTGATACCAGTAATCGTTTAGGGCGTTAGCCGTAGTAGTATTGTTGGCCTTAGTGGGCAAGGGTGTAACACCTTTCCTGTGGTGGTTGACCACGGCGGGTGCATCAGTGTTAGAGACATCTGACCCTACCGTGTCATCATCACATGGAGGCGGCATGCCCACGGCTTGTGAAGAGACCTTAGGAGGAGGTTGCGTGGGGTTTTTTGGAGAGTGCCTTCTCCATTAATGCTGCTACTGCAGCCTGTATCATGTCCTGTGGTTGGGTTGGTGAGTCACTTATGTCGGAGTGTAGAGTTCTTCTCACAGCTGTACCAGGCAAGCTGCACAAACAGGCACCAGAAAAGTTCAATTGTATACACTGTATACCCCCCTCTTTAGGTTGTCAGTGGCATAAAGTACATAAATGAAGTAAGCACCTCCATCTGAAATCCTTGGTAGATAGTGTGAACCACCAAGGTACAGGTAAAGGTGCCTTTAATGAATTATTATTAGGACTCACTACTCACAGCCGGTTGAAACAAGCGGCTAATATATGCAAGGGATTAGTCTCCATTAGATCTTTACTGCTGAAGTTTACAGTAAAGAAAGTTATGCAAAATATGAAGCCTTCTGTCATGTGGTAAAATTAAAGGTTTCATTGATAAGAAGTGGTCATAGTGCCTGGAGTCTATATGTCCAGCATTGTGTTTAAAAAGTGCTGTACATACAAAGATTAACCCCTTAGCTTCTGAATGTGTAACTCTACACAGTGTCATTAGCTCCAGGCTGACTAATGTGAACTCTTTCAAAATTGGCGTCTGACACCAGCACAGACAGTGCAATGGCTGCTCTCTTCAGTCTGTCCTCCCAGACCTCCCCTCCAGAAAGCGGGAATTAAATGATCTGAGGGGGATTAGGCATCAGGGAGGATTTGGCCTTGGCTCTGGAACGGAGGTAAGTTTTACCATATATTTATTTTATTACTTTTAAAGGTTTGGTGGTGGGCAACCACCTCAAAAAGCTTTACTTTTTATGAAAACACTGGCTTTTAAATGGAGTAACAATTTAAGAACAGGTAACTTACTGAGTTGTTTTGGCTTACTCTGAAACACTGGCTGGGCTTCTCACCATGATATAACTGACTACACTTAATGAATTTAAACTTTTGGGCTCTGGAGGTCACTCCAGGGCATTTTGCCTAGTATGATAACTCCAGATCTTCTGTGAGTGTGCTTTCTATTTTTCTTTTAATTCACTTTATACACTGATCAGCCTCAACATTAAAACCACTGACAGGTGAAGTGAATAACATTGATTATATTGTTACAATCAAGGGGTATTTATATTATATTAGGCAGCAAGTGAACAGTTCTTGAATTTATGTAGTTTGTAGGAAAAATAAATGGGATACAGGTGTGTATTCTGAACAAAATATTAACAACACATAGTGTGACCTCCTCACTTTCACTGATGTTTCAATCCAGGAACCGAGAGAAGTCAGGAATCCAGTATAAAAACATGCATTTCAAAAACTAACAAATAATTTAAAATAAATTAAAATATAAACAAAAAGTATATACATTGAGCCCACGTCCGTTTTGTTCATTAACGAACTTCCTCAGGGACCTCAAATATTAAAATACAATCAGGACAATAATAAGACAATTAAACTGTATTTTAACTTTATTATTATTGTCTTGATTGTATTTTAATATTTGAGGTCCCTGTGGAAGTTCTTTAATGAACTAAAACGCGTAGGACCTGGGCTTAATATATATACTTTTTGTACTGTATATTGTGTATAATAAGTGAGGAGCATTACAAGGGTGCAAGGTATTGCCTTGGCCTCAAAATTCTCCAGATCTCAATCTCATGAACATATGAGCTGGAACAACAAATCTGATCAATGGAGGCCCCACCTTGCAACTTGAAGGATCTGTCGCTAATGTCCTGTTGCCAGATACCAGAGGACACATTCCGAGGTCTTGTGAAAATCATGCCTTGATCTGTTTTTGAGACCTTCATGATATTAGGCAGTTGGTTTTAATGTTGTGGCTGACCAATGTATACATTGTGTACTATGCTGCATACTCCATTTCTGTCTGTTTTAAAAAAATATATATTTTGATTTGCTTTTGTGCATTTAGGTTTGAGGACAAATAACCATACTACGCATTGTAGTTTAATTTTTTACTTTAATATTATCACACGTTTTTTTTCTCTGTTTGGTCTCTGTTTATATGAGGCATGGGACAAGACTGTTAAGACAATTATCATTATCTGATTTCATGTAAGAACATGCTTCTTTAACTGGCTAAGTTGCATTAAAAGCATAAAGCGACTTTTCTTTAGTTCTTAGCATTTTATGTAGAAGCAATACACAGTGAAGAAATATATTTTCTTTCAGTAGAAATAGGTTCAGGGCTATATCTCCCCACCCCCATCCATATGTGCCAATATATTTTGAGGAATTCAGAGTTACGTCTTCTGCAACCGTCACTTCTCTCTCTCTCCATCTCACTCTCCCTTTACCTCTCTCTCTCTTTTTTTTAATAGTTTTTTTTTTTTTTTTTTTAATATACAACCAAAAACAATATACAAGAATACAAAACCAAATAATTAAAAGGAGAAAGTGGACTGGGAATCACTCTGCAAAGATGGGTCGTACACATGATAAAAGACCAGCAAAGTAATAAACAAACAATACGATAACTCTCATGCAGGATTCAGGATATATATCATGGGTGCTAAACAAGAAAAGTAGGTCAAGCTTAATGAGATCACCAGGAGCATATATGGAGGGGGCATATAACGGAGAGGTAAAGGAAACGTTGGGAAGTACTTATAGGCCACTGCGGCTGTAATGAGAAGAAGTACCAAATGAGGTAGAGCTGAACTTTGGTGATGTCAGTCGGTGATACCTGTTGTCTGTGTATTAGTTTGGAAGGCTCAAAGGAATAGTAGAAAGGAAGGAGGAGAAGGAGAGTGAGAAAATGGGGGTAGTCAGATAGGAATTAAAACTATATACAGGAAGTAAAGAAGAATGAGCGAGGAAAAGGTAAGAGCTAGGAGGATAACCTGAGAGAAAGAAGGTTTGCCCAGTTCCACAAGGCAGAAATGAATTAGGAGGGCAAGTGAGGGGGGGAAGAGAAAGGGAGTGTAAAATGCCCTAATGCAGGGGTCCTCAAACTCCAGACCCCCAGATGTTGCTGAACTACAACTCCCATGATTCCCTGGCTATCTATGTAATTCAAATAATCATGGGAGTTGTAGTTCAGCAACATCTGGGGGGCCGGAGTTTAAGGACCCCTGCTCTAATGCATTAAAAAAGAAGAGTCCACCAAAGAAAAGTGGCATAAAATAATGGTGTTAGGATATGTTTTTGTTCAGCCAAGTGGAATAATTTGGGTGAGTCATGTAGTTTTGCAGTGAGTCTATCCTTGTCAATTGCCTCCTTATTCTAGCAGACTTCTTCTTTCTCCTATCGCTGATTGGGATCAACACTGAGCATTATTTGTCATTTTGCAAAGATAACATTTTGGGACTTTTACCATTATATCACAGGACAAAACTAAATACAGCAAATAAACAGAAGTAAAATATTGCAATATCTTATACACATTTGTTCCTTAAAGTAACAGTGCCAAGGTGCCCACCTCCTCCCTGGTTGCAAGGTGTTAAACTGTACAAATGATTTGACTACTTGCTTGTGGTCTGCTGGGCGCCACTCCCTGCCTCCACAATCACTCCTGATCTAAGCTCTGCAGTGCAGGTCTTAGCTCATTGACTGAATGCAGTCAGTCTTCTTGGGAATTTCTGACAATAATGGTAGTGGAGGTTAGTGTACCCCATGTGAGAAATAAAAGTTTTCATATAGGGTATGGCAAGTTCAATCTGTAGTGGCTATGGTGCTTGGAGCATTCCTTTAACCCCTTAAGGACACATGACATGTCATAATTCCCCTTTATTCCAGAAATGTGGTCCTTAAGGGGTTAAAGGTACAGTGCAGACCCCTAAAGCACTTCAGCTTGCTGAAGTGCTTTATGTGTAATGAGTATGTAATCTTTTTTCACTTTACAAAAATTGTAGCTTTCAAAAGAAATTAGCCCCCTGGTTGTCAATCAGACAACTGGTCCTGTTACTTCCTGGTTTGGTCAGCTCAGTGGAGCTAAACACAAGAGGCAGCAATTGCCAAGAGCTCCTGCTTTGCAAAGACTTATCTTTGCGCTGCATTGGGAAGTCTGTGATTGGCCAGTCACAGAAAGTGTGGGCGGGGTTAGAAGGGGAATTTCTTGCAAAGACTGCAGACTAGATCTGCAGGTCTTACAAGCTGTTATCAGATAAACCTTAATGAAAAAATGCATAACTAAATGCATGCATGTTTTTGTTTGACTGTTAATCTACTGAATACTAAGCAGTGATGAGATATGTTTTTATATATATATATATATATATATATATATATATATATATATATACACACACCCTGTTCCAAATTATATTTTTCTTGTTTACCTAAATAATTTATGTAAATAACAGTCAGCATAATTCTCATGTTATCAACTATTAAGAGTACAATTCAAATTTTATTGAACAAACCTCCTAATGATAACTATTTTCTTTAAACATAAAAAACTTACAATGCACTGTTTCAAATTATTACGCACAGTAAGTTTCAAAACACTTTATAGGTTGTAAAGAACTGAGAATTTTCATTTGTTGTGTTTGCAGCATATTTACTGAAATCAAAAACTATTTCAATCAAACTTATAACAACATTTTAACTTTTTAAACATTTTAACAGGTTTAACATAGGACCCCTTATTTGATAGCAGCTTCATAAGTCTTGCATCCATTGAACATGTGAGTTTTTGGACAGTTTCTGCTTGAATTTGTTTGCAAGATCCCAGAATAGCCTCCCAGAGCTGCTGTTTGGATGTAAAGTGCCTCCCACCCTCATAGATCTTTTGCTTGAGGATGCCCCAAAGGTTCTCAATAGGATTGAGGTCAGAGGAGGATGGAGGACACACCATGACTTTCTCTCCTTTTATCCCCATAGCAGCCATTGATGCAGAGGTATTCTTTGCAGCATGAGATGGTGCATTGTCATGCATGAAGATGATTTTATTACGGAAAGCATAGTTCTTCCTTCTGTACCAGGGAAGAAAGTGGTCAGTCAGAAACTCCACATACTTTGCAGAGGTCATCTTTACACCTTTCGGGGACCCTAAAGGGGCCAACCAGCTCTCTTCCCATGATTCCGGCCCAAAACATGACTCCACCACCGCCTTGCTGACGTCGCAGCCTTGTTGGAACAGGGTGGCCGTCCACCAACCATCCACTACTCCATCCATCTGGACCATCCAGGGTTGCACAGCACTCATCAGTGAACAAGACTGTTTGAAAATTAGTCTTCATGTATTTTTCTGCCCAATGGAGCCGTTTCTGCTTGTGAGCATTGGTTAGTGGAGGCCGAATAGAAGGTTTATGCACAGTTGCAAGACTCTGGAGGACTTTACACCTTGATGTCCGTGGGACTCCAGAGGCACCAGCAGCTTCAAATATCTATTTTCTGTTATGTAATGGTATTTTAGCAGCTGCTCTCTTGATCCGATGCATGGATCTGGCAGAAATCTTCCTCAATGTGCCTTTATCTGCACAAACCCTTCTGCGCTCTGAATCAGCCACAAATCTCTTAATAGTGCGATGATCACGCTTAAGTTTTTGTGAAATATCTAATGTTTTCATGCCTCGTCCAAGTCATTGAACTATTTCACTCTTTTCGGCAGCAGAGAAATCCCTTTTCTTCCCCATATTGCATGAAAATGGTGCTCTGCTTAAAGGACCACTATAGTGCCAGGAAAACATACTCGTTTTCCTGGCACTATAGTGCCCTGAGGGTGCCCCCACCCTCAGGGACCCCCTCCCGCCCGGCTCTGGAAGGGGAAAGGGGTAAAAACTTACCTTTTTCCAGCGCTGGGCGGAGAGCTCTCCTCCTCCTCTCCGCCTCCGTTACGCCCCGCCGGCTGAATGCGCACGCGCGGCAAGAGCTGCGCGCGCATTCAGCCGGTCTCATAGGAAAGCATTTACAATGCTTTCCTATGGACGCTGGCGTGCTCTCACTGTGATTTTCACAGTGAGAAGCACGCAAGCGCCTCTAGTAGCTGTCAATGAGACAGCCACTAGAGGATTAGGGGGAAGGCTTAACCCATTCATAATTATAGCAGTTTCTCTGAAACTGCTATAATTATGAAAAAATGGGTTAACCCTAGAAGGACCTGGCACCCAGACCACTTCATTAAGCTGAAGTGGTCTGGGTGCCTAGAGTGGTCCTTTAATAATGTGGAATACCCTCCTTTAGTAGTTTTTCCTTAAATTGGGCTCACCTGGCAATCTAATTATCACAGGTGTTCGAGATTGTTTTCAGTGATCAAAAGAGCCCTGAGACACAATGCCATCCATGAGTTAAACTGAAAAAATATTTAATCTTTGTGACACTTAAATAGAATTTGCATAATAATTTGGAACAGGGTGTATATAATTAGATTATATAATTAAATCATTAATCACGCTTTAACTTTTGTAACACACACATATATAATATATATTTATATATTTCTGGTTCACAGCTTCCAGAGGAGGACCTCCAAATGCTTACCCATACATGCCCAATGGAGGCTATGCATATCCACCTCCTGCAGCAAATGGGATCTACCCTCCAGCCCCCAGCGGATATCCTTACCCTCCACCACCAAATGGTAAGTGATAGAGTTATTATTAGTACATGTTCTGGGACAGATTGAACATTTATGGTTTTCAGCAAAAACATAAAACCGCTTTCTATTTATACAATGCGATTTTCTCTGTACCTGATTTACATGTTGCGGGCAAAAAACTGCTTTCGACTTACACAGCTAAAAAAAAACTTTTACCAGAAATATTGAAATAGATTTCTGTTGACAAATGTTTGGTTATTGTAACCTTTATGGGGATATTCTAATACTGGGTGGTGCTTTATTTATGTGATATGGTTTGGGCTTCTGGTAAAACTATTTAAAGCACCACACTAGATATTAGTGAGGCATAACATTTTTTTTTTTTTTTTAAATCATCAATGCGTAGTAAACAAAATAACCCTTTATGTTTCATTTCCTACGCAGATATGAGTTTAAAAATTGTATCCTTTGTCTGAAACCTAATAAACCGAAAAAGATAATATAGAAAATAGTAAATGCTCAGTCTACAATTATGAAAGCATTAAAGGAACACTATAATCACCTAAATTACTTTAGCTAAATAAAGCAGTTTTAGTGTATAGATCATTCCCCTGCAATTTCACTGCTCAATTCACTGTCATTTAGGAGTTAAATTACTTTGTTTCTGTTTATGCACCCCTAGCCACACCTCCCCTGGCTATGATTGACAGAGCCTGCATGAAAAAAAAACTGGTTTCACTTTCAAACAGATGAAATTTACCTTAAATAATTGTATCTCAATCTCTAAATTGAACTTTAATCACATACAGGAGGCTCTTGTAGAGTATAGCAAGCTATTAACATAGCAGGGGATAAGAAAATCTTAATTAAACAGAACTTGGAATAAAGAAAGCCTAAATATGGCTCTCTTTACAGGAAGTGTTTATGGAAGGCTGTGCAAGTCACATGCAGGGAGGTGTGACTAGGGTTCATAAACAAATGGATTTAACTCCTAAATGGCAGAGGATTGAGCAGTGAGACTGCAGGGGCATGTTCTATACACCAAAACTGCTTCATTTAGCTAAAGTTGTTCAGGTGACTATAGTGTCCCTTTTAAATGCAATGTAGACATATGTTGTTTTGTTTTTTATTTGAAAAATAGATGCCAGGGACTTTAACAATGTAAAACTTTTCATCTGTTGTGCAGTTATTAGTAACTATTACTTTCAGTTTTCTAAAGAGGGTACTTTGATAATCAATACAATTTTAAAGTGGCACTTGCAGGGACTTGCCGAATTCACCAAGATCCTTGATAGTGACATCGCCACTGGGGATTCTGAGGCCTAGGGGCCAGGTAAAGGTGATATTTACTTACATGAACCTGTCCCTCGTGGGCAGCCTCTATCTTCTACTGTCTGCTCCTCTTAAGCGAGCCAGGCACTGACGTCACTGCAGTACTCTTGTACATGCGCAAGAATACATCATTAAGGTGGGATCCTCCATAGACCGAGCCAATTCCCTGCAGTTGTCAGTGCTGTCTGGATTTAGTCTCTACCTCCGCCCTGAATTTAAGAAAGTCTGGTGAAGGAGAAATACAGAGGCAAAGTATTCCCTACTTTTTCTATATATATCTCGTGACTGGGTTAGAATTTTTTAGGGGGTGACAGTGCCACTTTAATGTATTTTGATAGGTTTTGGCCTCATGTTTTGCATGCTTACATCCTCAGCTTTTGCACAAAAATTTAATGTTGCCCCATATCTCAGAAATCTTTCCTTGTCAGTGTAAACACAGCTCTGCCACTAACAGTAGTGAATAATCTGCTTTTTGTTTCACAGCCTGGCTGCAGACAGTCAGATAAACTACAAACAGGTAGCAATCTCCTCACTATGTGTCTCTCAGAGTGTCCTTCACTTCTAATGCAAGCTGCTTTTTAGTTCCAGTCGCTCCGTTCGGTCAACGGCCGATCTGTGTACAAATGTTTGATAGGTTCGAAGTCCACTTCTGGAGTGAGGGAGATCGTGTATAAGGTGTTGCATTCTACGTGCATATAATGTAGAATTCTGCAAAGCATTAAATTTTTTTGTGCAAAAACTGTAAAGCTTGCAAAAAAATACAGCATAAATGGATAAAAATGGAGCATCTCTTTAAAGTTTGCAATTCCCTTGTCAGTGCTTTACAAATGAGGATCCTGTTTAGAATATTCGGAATATATATAGAATATAAAAAACAACTTAAAACTCTTCTATATGAGCTCTATCAATGATTTTTTTTTTTATACTGTCCTCTCTTGCAGAGTTTTATCCTGGACCTGCACCTCAAGACAGTTCATATACTTATATGCATCCCCCTCCTCCTCCTTACCCTGGTCCAATGGAGCCGCCTTCAGCCTCTGCTCCAGAATTGCCCTCCACTCCTGCAGGTGAGTGTAACAGGTAGCCAGGGGACTTGCTTTAACTTGTATTTGACTGTCTCTGCAACCTTTGGAGCACTCCAGGCACGAAAACCACTACAGCCCTCTCTGTTCTGAGCTAGCTTATTGGCTGGGACCAACTGGGATCAACTGATGCTATTGGCCATTGAGCTGCCCGTGTACAGCTAAGTGTAGCTCAGGAGAACAAATTGAAGTTTTATGCAGGAGCTTCCAGCTCCCAATGGAGGAGGTGACTGGCACCCAGGATACCCCAGGTTTGTTACCAAACTGTTAGTAAACGGTTTGATTAGTTTATAGTGAAGGAACTCCAGGCAGGCTGTAGTGGTTGTGGTGTTTGGAATGTTCCTTTAATAATCATCAGATGACCTTAATAAAAAGTATGTTGACAAGGCTATGAGGCTATCATCTTGTGTTTCTAACATCACCTATGATGTGGCTTGGGTTGGTGTAATTTTGCATTGCTTCAATTTGGTGTCATTTTGCCATTGATAATATTGGGCATTTTAAATGCTTAGTCTAGGTTTAAGCTTGCATGTAGGGATTATTGTGCTGATTTATCAAATCTGCATTATAAAACGTATTGTGCAGTTATGATGCAATCTACATTTTTAGGTCGTTGTTTTATGCAATCAGCATTATTGAATCAATTTTATTTTGACATGCTGTCACATCTAAAGTAAACCTTGAGCAGTAATAATGATCTTATGATGAGCAATAATAATGAATATTTAACCAAGTATTCATGGTCTGATGAGGTTGGGGCTTAGAGAAATGTGAGAAAGCCTGAAAGTGTTGTGGGTTCATAGAAAACGTGCAATTAGAGTTGGATGTAAGTGAAAACATTTATTTACTTCAAACTAATTACAAAGAAATAAATTTCTGTTTTGACCCAGGTGGTCCTTTTCTATATGATGAAATATTCAGCTAATGTATTACTAGATTTGTTCTTTAAACATTTGTGTGTTGTATTGTGTGTTATTCTGTCTTTCTACCGTATGCTTTGATATTTGTTCAGACTGTCAGACCTTGGTTTGCCTACATGTAAAGAAATGACAGTGTAGTAATCCAATGAATGCCTACTTATCACGAGGTCTAAACGTTTAGTTGGTGTACGTGGAAGATTGATATAACACTGCAATACCATTTTAAATAAAAAAAATCAAACAGTGTACAAATCAGATGTTTGCGATTCAGTTGTTATTATCACATAGTTTTGTAAAAAAGGGTGAAATTGATTTAAATTAAAAAAATTGCTATTAATACATGTTTGTGTTCAGCGGACAAGACACATCAGTGTGGTAATGAATAGAATGAGAAAGTTATTAATTTTTTTTGTCTGTTAACCTTTCATGCACTTAGTTTGGTCAGATGCACAAGAACTGTGAGATAAACAGACCACATCCAACCACCTTCAGCTTAGAAAATGCCTTGTCTTCTTTTTGTTCCATTTTTTGATGATCTGTTTAGACTTTACTTTCTAGATGATTTCGCTAGTGCCATTGAGAAAGTGATTTTAAAGTGTCATTCACTATGGCATTTAGACTTTGTTTACTCTCATCCTGAGAACACTGGAAAGTACAAACTAAGTACCAGGCACTGATAAACTAATTTTCTATTCAGAATGCTTTTGTTCTGTTGATCGCAGATTATTTTTTTGAGGCTAGTTCTGAACAAGGATTTTTAGCTCCCTTCAAAGACAGAAACTTTCTGCCTGTGCCAACACTCAAAATGTTAATTGTCTAAATAGCTGTCTCTACGTATCTTTGGAGAAGATTGTGAATAGTTCTAGTGCTAGTTCTATATTGACTTAAAGGGACACTCCAGACCCCTAAAGCACTTGAGCTTGCTGAAAAGCTTTATGTGTGCAGAGTGTGTCCTCTTTTTTTTTCATTTTGGAAATAGTGCAGATTTCAATAGAAATTGACACTTGTGTAAATTTTACTGGTTATACTCCCCTGGCTTTTCAAGCGGACAGCAGGTCTTGTTACTTCCTGATTTGGTTAGTTTATTGAGCTGTATTGGGAAGTCTGTGATTGGACAGCCACAGACAGTCTGGGCGGGGTTAGAAGAGGAGGGGTTGCAAAGGCAGCAGACAAGAGATCTGCAGTTTTTGAAAGCTCTTTTTCGATATAGCTCCAGTTTATTATTATTATTATTATTATTAAATTCATATATTTATTTTGTATTTGAGCAGTGAAGTGTACCTTTAAATGTATCCTTACTTCAGTTTTCTGTATTCAATGAAAGTATTGAGCTATCAACCTCTTAAAGGAATATCACCAAGTTGTATAATCCTTTGTTTTTATATCTGTGTTTATGGTTAGGATTATATGTTGTACTATCATTAGTATGTTTCTGGTCTTGTCTTCTTAGCTGAAGCCAAAGCTGCTGAAGCTGCTGCTAGTTCTTACCAAACCAACCCTAACCAAACATACATGCCTATGGTAAGTGCCAGAAACTAGCTTCATGGCAAATCTAATGTATTAGTTTCTGTAATGTCATCTCCCTCTATTTCCTTTTTTGTATTTTTAGGATTTTCCTCCACCCCCTCCATACTCCCCACCGGATGACAAGAAAAACCAGTGAAATGCCTACAACGTATTCTGACAAAGCACACAAAGTTCCTCTAATGCTTGTAAACTTGTCTGAACACCCGTAAAGCCCAGATGAAAGGCCCAAGGACTATAAACTAAGAAACTATACTCTGAATCCTTCTTCGGACCTTGGTTATTGCTTCTGTCATTAAACCTTCAAAAAATGAGTTGCAAGCCCAGGTAGCAGAGAAGACATCAACACATCCCATCAAACTTGGAATTATGCAGCTCGGATGACCTGACTACCACTATCTTCTGCTACCTGTACATTCTTAATTTCCCCTGCTTTCAAACACTAACTGACTGAAACTGTACCGAATACTGCTAGAGAAGCATGCGTATATCCTAACTGTATTTTGATTGCTGTGTAAATGCAAATAATAATTTTAAAGAAATAATTTATTATAAAATAATTTGTTGCAGATGTAGGAATGCAGTTTGCATATCACATTAAAGTAAAAAAAAAATCCTGAATGCATTTTGCCGCTTTTTGGGTATGATGCTTTTAAAAAAAAAAAATTTTATTCTTTATTTATAGCTGCATATAAAATAACAAGTCACAATTGCATAAACAAACATAAACAAGGGCAGAAAGCCCAGAAGAGATTTATACAGAGCAAAAGCATACGATGTAACAATACAAGTACTGCATCTGTTGAATTTACCCAATAGGGATTGATATTGCCAATGGGGATGGGCTTAAGGCTCACTGCTTGAAGAAGAGATTGTACACATTTGTTAAAACCTCTAAGAAACATATTTGGGTATCATGTTTTTTATTTATCAAAGGAACACTATAGGGTCAGGAACACAAACATATTCCTGACCATATAGTGCTAAAAACACCATTTAGCCCCTTTCCCCCTAAATATAGTAAAATCTTACTTTTATTCCAAAGTGCTGCCGCTGGCTCTGCCCCTGATGTGCCTGCTTGGCTGACATCATCAGAAGTGTGATCAAAGCCAATCACAATGCTTTCCTGTAGGAAAGCATTGGATTGGTTGAGACTGTTAAGGAGGCAGATCTGGGGCAGAGCCAGCACAAGCCAAACACAGCCCTGGCCAATCAGCATCTCATAGAGATGGATTGAATGCATGCAGAGGGTGAAGACACTGAATGGCAATGCTGCACAGTGTGCAGTACTGCCACAGAAAGCACCTCCAGAAGCCATTGAAAGAGTGACCATTGGAGTTATCCCTAGGCTGTTATGTAAACACTGCCTTTTCTATCAAAGAAAAAAGTGTTTACCTCAAAAAGCCTGAAGGGAATGATTATACTCACTAGAACAAATACAATAGGCTGTAACTGTTCTGGTGACTATAGTGTCCCTTTAAGTGTGGTTACAAAATCTGTCTCCCTCTGTCACTTGTGCCTATGTGAGTGTGAGCCATTAATCACCATTTATAAAGCCTTAAATTATAATGCTTAAAACTAAATTTAAAACACCAGAGACAAATATCAACTCCAAAAAATTGCTATTTCTTTTTATATCTATTCTTTATTCCCAATTTCTTTTTATATATATAAATATACAATCACAAGATCATACATTACAACATAAACCTAATTATGCGATTTATGTATGTGACATAATATTGTAACTTCTTTTATATCCCTTATTTTTCACAATGCTCATAATCAAAGTTTGCAAATTACTTCGCATCAGAAACATACAAACATAAGAAAATATGGTAATTTAAACTCTGCTTAAATTGATTAATTCCTGCTAGACGGACCAGACTAACTAGAATTTCAGATTTTCTTATTACCTTTCTGCGCTTCTTAATAAATAATATGTTTTAGTATATTAAAGGGGTTAAAAAGAGAAAAGCAATTCAAATCTGTTGTATTTTAAACAGCCATTCCTTTAACCTTTTCCTAGCTGTTAATGTTATTCCCATTTCCATCTTTAATTGGCATATCAGTTGTTCTTTAACTAATTCTCCGCAAGGAACCTGAGTAGATTTCCATTTTCTTGCCACCAATAATTTAGCAGCCAACTATATGTGTATAACCAGTGCAGAGAATTGCCCAAATATTTGATGTATATTTAGATGCAATAAAAAGATGCTAGGGCAGGGGTCAGCAACCTATGGCACGTGTGCCATTCACGGCACTCGAAGTGCTTTTGAACGGCACTCAAGGCTGCTAATGACAAACAGGCTCTGGCCTATCAGGAGTACCAGTGGTACTTCAGATATCTGCTAGTGCAAACCCGAGCACATTGCAGCAAAAAGAGGAAGTGATCACCGGTCCTGTCCTCCCAGCTTTGGTTAATGGGAATTTGCTCTGGAGTAGAGGTCCTGCCCTTAACCTGCACCTGGCCAACCTGGTTCCCACTGGGCCCAAGTGAAGCCACCCACAAAGATAGATATACACAGAGCTGCAGAAGATGCCTCTACTTACCAATAATACAAAATAATACAAACAGCTCACACATAAACACACACTCAATCCCCATAAACAAAACACCAACCCACATACACGCACACAGCTCCACAAGCAGCCTCTCACGTGCAATGCCACAAGCAGCCCCACACATACACACACCACCAAACACACTATGTAAAATATCATCAACATACACAATTCCACAAGAAGCCCTCATAGACGACCTGCATTCATATGTATCCTACACAATACCACAAACTACTCATGAACATTTACAATATATAAAACAGTCCACATACGCACAAATATAAAGCTCTAAAGCAGGCTTCCCCAAACTCCGGCCCTCCAGATGTTGCTGAACTACAACTCCCATGATTATCAGCCTATCTATTACATTCATAGAATATTGGGAGTTGTAGTCCAGCAACATCTGGAGGGCCAGAGTTTGGGGAAGCCTGCTCTAAAGCAACTGCAGCACCCATATTTAACACAAGCAGAATATGGAAACAAACACACCTCACTAAAAAAAACAACAAAAAAACATATAGGACTGGCACGCTAAGGGAGCTTGTTTTGGCACAGTAGTACTAGAAGGTTGCCTACCCCTGTGCTAGGGAGTAGATGAAACTCGATATTAGTCCGCTTCTTATCATACTCCAAAAGAGATATATTGACTAGTATTGCCACCAAATACGTATCAACTCTCCAGTATGAAAATCGCATCTCCAGCATCTATCAGAAATATTTTAATGCATTTTTGCTAATCTACTTGGAGTTAAGTACCATCTGTTCATGATCTAATACTGTACCTCGGATAAATTGAGACAATGTAAATTCTTTGAAACAATAGCTATGGATCTTTTCCATTCGTCATAACTTATGTGTATATCTTTTCCCCGTTTATTTATTGTGAAACGGATAAGATTTTCAGAATCTCTTTCATATAGATCTAAACAGTTTAACATTATTTTCTTTATAACATTTCTGTTTTTTTATTATTTTTTCAAGTTTTGCTTGTTTGTTTGATTTATCCTTAAATAAATGATCGTTTAGATATCCCTTCACCCTTATATAAGTGAATATCTCTTCACTATCAATATTATATTCCAGATTTAAAGAGTTAGTCTTTTTTACAGTTTCTTACTATATCGTCAATTACCTGAACGCCATGGTTAATCCATTTCTGTATATTTAAATCAATCATGTTGCTGTTTAGTTGGCATATGGGAAGCAAATTAATTGCTATTTTAGTAGTATTATAAAAAAAAAAAAAAGTTTGATCACTGTAGATCAGAATCTCAGAGAACATTGGTAACGTATCAAATTAAAGTCTAAGACAGGAGAGTGTTAAAAAACTACTGTTTGCAGGAAGCTAAAAGGGGTATTAAATCAGGGTTAGGAGACTATTATTGCAGAAGGAGTGTACTTGCCAGCCACGGGTTCAAATTTTGCTGTAGACAAGGGCATTTTGAAGGACAAACGTAATAAGGCTCCTAGTGATGGTTCCAGTACTTATGTTAAAGTCAAAACCAATACAACCCTGTCTAAAAACTTGCCTTGGTCACGAAGAAGTATTAGCCTGAGCTGCAATGGGCAGCTGTGATTGGCTAAGAGTCTCAGCTGACCGCTTTCAGTCTATCACAGTACTCGTTGCCGGTATGAATCAGGATTACAAAAAAGTGCTTAATCTCTGCCTTAGCCATACTTTCAGTAGGGGCTAGGCTATAATTGGCCAGGGACCCTCATTCAATGTTTTACTGTTCGAAAATGGTTTAACACGGAATAAAGGGACAGTACCATTTTAGTCCAGACACTATAACCGATGAAATGTCCTAATGTTGTTGTTCTGGTAGAAATAGTCAGTCTCTGCAGGCTTTTTAATGGTTACTTTACAGCCTAGGAACACCTCCAGTGGCCACTCCTCAGACGGCCAGTAGAGGTGCTTCCTGGGTCAGTGCTGCACAGTGTGGAGATGCTCAACTTTCCCCATAGAGATGCATTGATTCAGTCCATCTCTATGAGGAAATGCTGGTTGGCCAGGGCGGTATTTGGCTCTGCCTCCTTGGCTGACATCATCAGAATTGACGAACTCAGCCAAACCACTGCTTTCCTATGGGAAAGCATTGTGATTGGCTAAAATCATAAATTCTGATGATGCCAGTCAGTTAGGCAGATCAAGGGTGGAGCCAGCGTCGGCAGACCCGCGCGGTGCTGGAAATTAGGTAAATTTTTACTATACTTAAGGGGGACAAGGGAGCGTCAGGGGGCTAAATAGTGTTTTTAACACTAAAGGGTCAGGAATACGCATTTATATTCCTGATCCTATAGTGTTTCTATAAATGTTTTAACTAACTCTGCAATATATTTTAGAATTATGTTGCTCTTTTCTGACAAATATATACTGTATCTCTAGCAATCACTTTGCATACTGTAAAATATTACATATCCTATTTACACATTCATCTTAGACATTGGTGTCTGGAATGAGCAAAAGCGAAAGATGGTTTTACTAAATCATATAGCTCTCTTTAAGATTTTTGAAATGTGGTTCTAAACCAATGGGAATCATGCATGTGTTCCTATTTATGGAGTGAATTACACAAATATGTACTTGGTCACATGTCCTTTGTTTGACTAGGTTTGGGGGTAATTTTCTCTGTCTCTGATTCTCTTGATAAAGATCCTATGTAACATCAAATATCAAACTCAGTTTGAATAGTTATGTATTGCTATTTTTTTTAGTCATTATTATTATTATTGATAAAGCTCCAACGGATTCCGCAGCACGTAAACTGGCAGACAAGATGGACGCACAGGAACAGTGGGGTCAAGGGTCCTGCTGAATGCTAGAGGTAGTCGGATACCGTAACAAAAATGGTTAGGGTAGGGTAGAAAACTAGGTCATAAATAATCATAAAACTAGGTAATTTAGTCATAAATATACATTATATTTATAAAGAGACTAAGTCAGGTGCATGTTTAAATTGTTGGGTGAGATACAGGAGTACAAATATGTACCCTGAGTCAAAAGAAAGGAGATTTAACACGTTAATACTTTCGAAAAAGTGGCTACCCAAAGTCTTAAGTAACTTCCACCCAGTGCTGATAAAAATTAATTTTTCTGTAATGTTGAAGGATGGCATCTTGTTTTTCTTACCTCTTTTATTTGAAATATATAATGAGCACAGTAGCTAACCAACTTTCTTACAGATAGTACAGAGGGAATACATTTCCAATTACAAAAGATTCACAACCCGGAGGTTTAGACAATCATTATAGACATGATACATATTAAAGGAATCCTGTAGGCATCATAATCACATACACAATATTAGGCAGGTGGTTTTAATGTTGTGGCGGATACCTGTATATTATATAGGAATCAGGGGGGATAATATAAAAAGATTAAAAAAAAATATCACAGACAACAGGGTTACAAGAAATAGTTGGGTAAAGAGGAAAACACTGGGGTTCATTTACTTGAGCAGGAATTGTAGGAAAATAACAATGGTACCTTTTAGGAAAAACTGATAAGTTGGAAATATATCAAAATTTGAGAATGTTTCCATTTCAGCTAGTCTGACTTAAAATTGCAATTCCCCTTTACTCCAATCCACTGTCTAGTAAATAAACCACACTGAGGTTGTACAGACTTATTACAATACCTGTTCAATACTAGGCTATTCATTGTCAAATTGTTCAGGTTTTTTTTTTTTTAATTGTGATCACACTGTTTTTGTGGTGAGACCTTTATTGCTGACCACAAATGGTGGAGAAGGTGAGAGATATGCTTTTGCATGACAGCTTTCCCGTGGATCCTGACACAACAACAAAGGGAAGCAGACAGGAATTAACTTTATTGCGACAGAATTTGCCAGGCCAAAGAGTCCCACGGGAACACAGACTTAAAGGGACACTGTAGGCACTCGGACCACTTTAGCTCATTGAAGTGGTCTGGGTGCATTGTCCTATGTTCCTTAACCCTACAGTGGTAATTATTGCAGTTTCTCAGTGGTGTTCGTGCAATTTCGTGCCCGACAACAGTTTCAGATGCTCGATGACAAAACACTGCTGAGTAGGTTTGGATTCCAAGATGCCCGCCACCTCGTGTTTGTACAAGCGAACGATGACTACCCAGCCGACCGTTGAGGAGATGTAAGTGGCTGCGGTTAACCACAGTGTCAAAAAGGTTAACAAGCAGCAGACTTCCCTGCTGGGTGGCCAGCCATTCGGTAGTTAGTTTGTTTTAGTGAATTAAACCAGGGAAACAGACAAACAACCGGGAACTGACGAACAAACAGGCAAAACAACTTTTTCCAGTGATAATCCAGAGACAGGGAGGACTGTCACATTCCATATTTGCAGGTTTGAGGGCTTACACTAGATAGGCTCTCAATTTAATTTAATAAAGATGTTTTTACTTTTCCACAAATAGTTGCCCACTGAAGGAAAGCTGAACCATAAAGGTATGCTTCAAAGGATCCTAGATTAGTTAGGTTATATTTTATATCAAACTGATGACTATGATGGATTGGCCTGGTCACTTTAACTACTGGTGCTGGACTCTGTACCAACTCCTCCATGTTTGCCCCACCATCCTGTGCTAGGACTTCACAGGACATGAGGTAGCCTAGCCTTTGTCCTAGCTAGCCCCCCGAAGACTTTCAGGACTTGGGATTGAATGAAGCACAAAGCACTCCACCAGGAGGTACCCAAAAACATCATGGAACTGTACACCAGATCAGAAGAATATCATGATCTGGTGAAACTTCAGTTGGGTATCACTCGGTCCCAGGACCTCCAAGCTGAGTGCTATTTGGAGGGTAGATCATGGAGATGATAAGGTGTCCAGCAACACCAAAGACTTGAAGGACCTCCCTTCTACAGGGCTTCACAGGACATGAGGTAGCCTAGCCTTTGGCCCAGCTAGCCCCCCGAAGACTTTCAGGACTTGGGATTGAATGAAGCACAAAGCACTCCACCAGGTGGTACCCAAAAACATCATGGAACTGTACACCAGATCAGAAGAATATCATGATCTGGTGAAACTTCAGTTGGGTATCACTCGTTCCCAGGACCTCCAAGCTGAGTGCTATTTGGAGGGTAGATCATGGAGATGATAAGGTGTCCAGCAACACCAAAGACTTGAAGGACCTCCCTTCTACAGGGCTCCGGGAAACTCAGGACACTTCCGATCAGTAGCGTACCTAGAGTATTTGGCACCGAGGGCGGTTCCTTTGTTCGACACCACCAACCCCCACCCCCCCTTTGAAATATAAAAAAACACCCAAAATGTTATTTTTAATGCTTCCAAGAATTTATATATATATATATATATATATATATATATATACAACACCATCAGAACCACTATGTTTCTGACATTCTACGGCCTAACAAGTTGACAGTAGGGAATACTAACAACAATACCAATAGGTTCACTATGGCTGACCTAAACAAAGTAGGGGACCACTACGATTGACCCTACATAAGTCTTAAATAATCAAATGGGACTGCCTTCCTTACAGGCAACAATGGTGCCCCGTTCAGTTGCTCGACCAATCACTTTCAACCCGCACAGGTCAAGACAAAGCCGCTCCTTCTAACCCTTTGAAACAAAAATAGGAAGCTATCCAACTGCTTCCACGGGCCATTCATTTCGAATAGGAGCAGCAACCTCTGCCTCAAGCCAAAACATACCGGTACACATAATACACTCCTCTTTTGTTGTCAGCACATTCAACTATGTAAAGAACAAAGTATTTCAGAAGAATATTTAATTAATTCAGATCTAGGATGTGTTATTTTTGTGTTCCCTTAATTTTTTTGAGCAGTGTATAAATCATCTAAGGTGTTATATCTACAGTGTGTTCTGGGTTTTCTTCACACACACGTGTCTATTTTGGTAATACGATAAAGGATGAAACTTATAATACTTTA